TAAAAGCCGACCCTCATACAAATACCCTTTCAAGAACCGTTTCAGGAGCCTTTAGCAGAATCTCAAGGCCCCTAAAGACCCGACCTGCCGCAGGACAAGGTCTACATGAGCCTCGGCTGTCATGTGTGGAGACAGGACTCGCAAAATCAAGCCCAACCCAGAGCCTCCAAAACCCCAGCGTCCACGGTTTAGGGTTTAGGGTTTAGGGTTCACACACAGAAAGCTCAGCGAAGAGGACATGGCTGCGCATGTTGCAAATTGGCCAATCCTTTCTGAATCCTAGTCTCGAAACTCGCTCCAAAACCCCAAACCCTAAACCCTAAACCCCAAACCTAAACCTGTTGGCGTTGGGGGCTTGGACCTCAGCTACTGCAGCACCTACGCTCCGAACTTGGGGTCTATGCCGAACAGACGATTGAGTACAGTTTTGCCTATGTAACAGAGACTGTAAACCCATATAAGCTTATGCCAGCTCTTCAGCATCGAACAAGAGCTTTATATAGGAGTCAACAGACGCAGCAGCTTAGCTCCACTACTATCATTTTGTAAAGTTCCCATTCTAGCTATACCAAAAGGATACAGGAAGCCCGTTTACAAATCCTTGAGGCCCCTGCAGTAAGCTTTCTTCTTGCGGCAATCTTAACAGAAACCCACAGACTCGAACATCCTTGCTTCTGACAAGGTGCTCACTACTCGAGCAGAATTTGAGGAATCTTGCACCAGGTTTGTCCCGGCGGGTGCTCATTCGGGGAATATTAAACCCGTGTTGTGTTTGGCCGTGATGCCTTGTACGCCCCTGGCAGAACCATGTAACATCAAATGCACTATAAGGGACTTTTCTTTCTGTTAAACCCAAAGCCCTAAACCCCCGAGTCCCGAATCCCAAGCCTTAAGCCCTACACTCTATAAAACGCATATGAAGCACTATGAGAATCATGCAACCCCCAAACCTCAAGCCTTAAACCGCAAGCAAACAAATCTTATGTAAGAGATACTTGAAGGATCATGGGACTTAGTAACTAGAGGCATTCTTGGGGTAAGTATCCTGATAATTATTTTTAATCCCTATACCCCAATGAAGGTGTTACCATATTTACTAAATCCCATGATCCTCCAAGTAGTCCACGAGCACTGCTCTCAGGTGCATGGGCCCCGACGTGGCGAAGCTGCGGATTGATCGGAACAGGTCCAGTTTGACACAAAAAAGACCAAACACGTACAGGTGTTTCTGTTGTTTGGTATTAAATCGTTGTTTACACACGGTCTTGATTCAAGTATGTTCAGGCTTTTAGAATTCGTTTTGGAAGGGTTCCATAAGGTGTTCATTTGGAAAGTTTAATTTGTGTTGTAAGGTTTCTGTTAAAGTTCTACGATAAGGGCTCTTTAGGGGGTCAGGATTTTGTATGAGGTTTTACATTTGGGTTTTGTCAGGGTTTTTGTAGGTTGTAGAGGCTTTACCGGGTTCGGGTTGAGGGTTTGATGCTTGTGGTTGAGGTTGATGTTATCATACTAAAGTGTAATCTACCGTCATGTACTGCATTCTACTACAACATGCTAGAAATGCCAGTGGCTGAATTTCTCAGTTGTTTACACAAGGAGCTTGGGACTTTGAAGTTTCAATCAGGGACTTCTCGAAGCCTTCCTTCGATGCGGCCGTCCACGTTCGGTATCGGAAGTCAGAATTTGTCGGTCATCGCCTGCGCTCTTAGTCGAGGATGTATACAGACGCTTGTGCACCTTACGAAGAAGCCCGCTAAGTTCCACGAGCAATGGTTGCGATGCATCAAGGATTTTGCGGCATGTAGGGAAGTGCCACCTATTTCAGCGCAGCACCTGGCATGCAGGAAGATTGCGCTACTTGGAGGATCATAGGACTTAGTAAGTATGGTTATAAGGTATATGCACTGGAATTAGGATTACAAGTGATTGTGCATTTAGTTGCTGTAATCATAACCCTATTTGCTAAGTCCCATGATCCTTCAAGTACGCTCGGGAAGGTGAAGAAGCGGGTCGGCACTGGTAGCAACCGGTCGAACGCCAGGATCTCGCAATTGAGGCTTTTTGGAAATAGCCGTCTCTGGCTCCTTCGCCTTGCCACCAACGTAAGATGTCCCAGAAACAAGCCTCAGCCGTATCCACCGCAGGGGCACAAGGAACCCCTGCAAACAGTATCGTAGCATGTTTGGCACCTATATAGTTTGAGTACAGTGTGCATTCATCACTCTACTGCACCTTCTATTGTATGTTCTGCAAGCAGGAGCCCGGGAAACAGAGTCAAGCCAGTTCTCGCTGTCGTGGGCTTGAGTGTAACCCGAAATCCTAGTCAAAAGCCCTAACCAAGCCTGAAGCCGAAATCGAGCAACTGTTATGTACGACCAGATCATTTGACGACTACTTAAAGGATCATGGCACTTAGTAACTAGGGTTATACTTAAGGTAACTATACGTATTATTACTTATAACCCCAGTTAAGGGACTGATAACCATGGTTACCAAGTCCCATGATCCTCCAAGTAGGCAACTCACTGCGCCAGGCTGTTGTGCTCGTTCTGGTCCTTATGTGTCCCTGCCGGGCAGGATGCTTCCACAGTCTTTAGGTTTTAGGGTTTAGGGTTCTACTCTTCAGGCTTCAGGGAGCAATTTTGTAGGGATTCTTTGGAGGATTGCTTCAGGGTCCAGGGTCTCAGGTTGCAAGTGTTGCCGTATTCCCGGTGACCGGTGGCAGTTTCAGGATACCTGGAGTTGTCTTGCCTGCATGGGTGCGGATAAATTTGCAACTCCTGCACACGTTGCACTTAGGCCTGCGCCATGCACCGTAAACCCTAAACCTTCAACTCCAAATCCAATTTTTTGAAGGGTTTCCTGAAGTCAGTTTTTTGTTGATGGGAGCCGGGGTTGACCTGAGCCAGATCAAGGCATCGTTGTTCTGGGTTGGAGGTCGGTTTATGAGCTTTTTTTTTTTTTTTGGGCATTGTCGGCCAGGTTCAGGGTTTGGGGTCACCCTGAACCCTAAACCTGAACCCTAGGGCGCATGGAGGGTTTGGGGATTGGGGTTGAGTTCTTGGGGCGAACCCTAAGCCTTGCACCCTGGACCTCAAGGTCCTACAGGGGTTCCTTTTGGGATTCGTTTCAGGATTCCTAAACTTTTCTTCAAAGGCTCCTTTGAGGGTTTCCTTAAAGACCCTATAGTGGAGGATAGGTCTGATCCGCGCGTCCGCACCGTGCGCGAAGTCTTGCTTAGGATGTGATGGCAAAGCCCAACCCACAACCCCCAAAGCCCCAAATCACACCCAAACCCCAAACCCTAAACCCCTAAACCCCTAAACTCTACGGTGTAGGGTTTTGGGAGCCATAAACCCGAAAGCCCTTAAACCTTAAACTCTGAACCCTGAAGCCTAGCCAAACCTCAGCCCAGAAGCTCCACCGCAATGTCCCTGAATGACAACTTTGCGGGACATCAAAAGTCCGTTGCACTTATAAAAAAAAGCTTGACAACCCGTCCCTCCCACAGTCTAGGGCTTATGAGGCCTAGGCCCGGAGCTCCCGAACCCTAAACCCTAAACGGCCCCAAACCCTAAGCCTTCAAGCCCTCAAACTTTTCAAAGCCCTCAAACTTGAAACGGCTTCGAGACAAGAGATCCTCTGTCTAATGGCCGCCGACTTCGTTTGCCTGCCGAGTGGGGGTCTCTTCGAGCCGTCGGGGTGCCCAGAGTTCAAGCTCAACCCCAAACAACTTCCTTAATCCAAGGGGAAAAGGAGGGACCCTTAATGGGGACCCCTACCCTATAATGGGGCTGTATAATGGGTATATAATAGCTATATTAAGGGTATATACCTAGAGGTCCTTATTAAGTGTCCCTCCTTTTACCCTTGGATTTAAGAGCTACTTCCATATTGGGGTTGGCCGTCAGAGTAAGAACCTCCACAAAAATCTAGATTCTGGTAGTTTGAGGTAAGGTCTACGGTCGAAATCTCAACCCCTCAGAAGCCTGAACCCTAAGCCCGATGCCCTGTACCCCAGTGGAGATAGGCAGTTCAGACACCTTGGCATGAAGAGTTCCCTCAACTTTGGGCCGAAAGTCCATCCTTGCAGACCGGTCCATGGGGTCAGCATGGCCAAGCTCGTGCAGGCTAGCCCCACGCTGGCTCGGGCCTTCGAGAGGTTCTGTCAGGAGGTGACAGATAGCCCTGCATCCGGGCGTCGCCAAAAGAACTTGGCAATGCGGAAGCATCCCTTCGATTCGGCGGCCAAGCCTCTGGGGAGGTTCGTATTCTTCCTGGAAGCAGACCTTACGTTGGCCTTATATACCTCGCAAACAACGAGGCCCATGATACGACGCGATGGGGTTTGCGTTTCCTGCAATGCGTAGATGAAAAGCTTCTGCTAGTGGGTCTCTCAGTCGATTGTGCGGACGAGGCTCCTTTGGGGTTTTCGATTTAGTGGTTTGGGTTTGGGGTTTAGGCATGGTGGAAATAGGGTTTAGGGGTTTTAAGGCCTCAGGATTTCAGGACTTAAGGTTTTAGGTTTTTGGGGCAGAGAGAATCCCTAAACCCTACACCTTGAAACCCTAAACCCTAGGCCCCAAACCCTAAGCCCGAAGGCGAAGTGTTAAACACTTCGGGGATGCGGTTTCCTTGGTTTGTCGGGTTCAGGATTTCAGGGTGTAGGGTTTGGGAATGCAGGTTTCAGATGGCTTGCGATAAGAAAGATTATGAGGATAGCACCCTTTCATCGTTATAGAATATGTACCCAGGCCCTGTATTTGGTTCAGCACATGAGGCCCTGAAGCCCTACGCCCAAGCTAAAGTGGTGAGTTCTGGGGTATTTCTGTTCATGTTGGTATCGCATATTCTTCAGAAGGGACAAGAACTAGCACAATCTGTATTTCGGAAAGGGCAGTGCGAACCCTTCGCCATACCCTAAACCCTAAACCTTAATAAACCCTAAACCTTAAGACAAACCACGTCCGGTCGAAGGTAGTGAGTCCCTTCACGACGAAATGGACGGGGATGGCGACGACGGGGATGGCGAGTTTTTCAACGCGTCGAACACGACTACCTTGGAGGACCTCTTCTTCCTAGGTGGGTGCTTATCAAAATTATGGTCCCTTTTTGGGTCCCTAATATAGTACGGCACCCAATATTTAGGGTACCCAAAAAGGGACCCTAATTTTGAGAACTACCCAGGTCGTATTATGGAGACCCCTTAAAGCGGACACTTCTAAACCCTACTGCTGGCTCTCTTAAAAGGGACCACATTGAGAAGGTCTATATCCCCAAGGGTCCCCTCAATCCTAACCCCAAGTATTGCTTAATTAACTGTTAAGAGCAATACAGTGATACAAGAATGGCAATCAACACCCGCAGTCTTAATGGTGAAAGCAATGGCAAGGATACTGTGACGATAACAGCTAGAGTCATATTAGCAGGAATAACGCTCACCAGTTATCGTAATCATGACCATTGCAAGAAGCAAGATCCCTTCACCCTAAACCCCAAACCTGAAAACCTTTCTATCATGCTAGTATTCTTCTTATCTTGGCTAGTAGTACTGCGGCTAGCTTACGCCGTGTCTCTCGGCCCCTTCGTCGCGGGATCCGAAACCCCGGCCCCCAAAGCCCAAGCCTTTCCCACCCCGCGCAGGTCCGAAACCCTACATGGAGGGGCAGGGGACTTAGTAAGTAGGGTTATAAGTAGGGTTATAATTGAGGTAGCTCCATTTAGGGTACTTATAAGTCTACTTATAACCATACTTACTAAGTCCCCTGCCCCTCCAAGTAGACCCTAAGCCCTAAACGCATGAACCCATAAATTTAAACCCCCGAAGCCCCTAAGCCAAGCCCCTGAACCCCCTAAGCCCTAAGCCCCAGACCCAGAGCCCTAAATGCAATGCCCTAAACCCCGAAACTCCGACTGTACGCCCCAAGCCCCCGCCCTAAACCTTCAACCCTGAACCACTACAGATCCCTCTAAAGGATCCCTTAAAGCGTCCTTTAAAAGCACCCTCACCCAACCCTAAATCATTCTTAAGCCTGCCGCTAATTTTTAAGGCCCCTACAGTTTAGCACCCTTATAGATCCCTTATACTGGTAGTGGCCTTGTCAAGGAACCCAAGTCTAATTATCAGGCCCCACATTAAGGTAAACCCTAAACCCTAGACCCTAAACCCTCAACCTCCGCAAATCTCAAATGCTACGCCCTAACTCCTAAGCCCCAAGCCCCCGCCCCAAAAACCCTCAACCCTGAACCCTAAACCCCAAACCTCAACCCTAGGCTGCTGCAGGATACGCGAGCCAAGGATCTGTTTACAACCATTACCACCCGTGATGGTTTCGTTGCAGCGAGCTGGGAAGAGTCACAAACGCATTTTGGCAGAAACCCTAAACCCTAAACCCCTACAGTCCAAAACCCCTAAACCCTAGGTCCTAGGGCTTCAGCCCAAACCCGAAGTCCTGAAGGTTTGAGGTTCAGGGCTTAGGGTTTAGGGGTTCAGGGTTTAGGCGTTCAGGGTTCATGGTTCAGGGTTTTCGGGTTTAGGGGTTGTGAAGGGTTTAGGGCTTGAGCCCTAAATTATCAAGGGTTTTTAGGGTCCGAAGCCCCGCCCCGAACTAGAGTCTTTCTGTGTGTGGTGGAGCTTTCTGCGATCTCGGCCTTTAGGCTCTTGTTAAAGGATTTAACTTAAGCTACCATAATAGGGATCTAGAAGGGTTCCGTTAAGGCAAAAAGGATTTAACTTAAGTTACCATACGTAATAGGGATCTACGGTAAATAATACGGTTTCCTTATTCTGGTAACTTAAACCAAATCCTTTAACAAGAACCCTCTTCGACCCCCAAAACTACCCTCTGATATACCTAAAATACCCTCTATTAAGGACCATAAGGGCTCTTTTAGAGGACCGTTGGGGTCGGGCCCTAGCTTAGGCTTTAGGATACAGACGTTTAAGGGTTAGGGTTTCAGGGTTTAGAAGCTCCGCAGTGGAGGACCTGTTTGATGCCGTGGGAGAAAGCATGACCAATGACTGTGTTGCCATAGTTCTGTGCATCAGCTTCGTCATCAAGCTTGTCATCGTGTCATAGTTGGGCTGTCTGAACCCTAAACCCAATGACCTAAATCCTGTATATGAAAACCGAGTCCCAGACTCTACAAGCGTCAAGAGACGCATCTTCAACACCTTGTTTCAACACCGACAAGCAGTCTCCTCCCCTATGTTGAGCCTGGAAGCACCATCGCCTTCCACCGTAAGCTATCATGTGGTTCAAAGACGAGTGTTTCGCATTTGCGTTTTGCAGGCTTTTGCCCGATTTTCCAAACCCGGGCCACAAACCCAAAACCTTGAACTTAAGCCTCAAAATCCAAAATCCACACTGAAAGCCCTACAGCCCTAACCAGCTTATCCCAAACAGCACAAACCGCAGACCCCAGGCATCTGCTTCTGTTTCTGGGCCTCTGGGCGGGGCTTCTCCTCGTCTCCTTGACCATGGGATTCCTGCTTCAAGCTGGGTTTTCCTTGGCTGTGGGTTTAGGGTTTAGGTGCGGAGGCGTTTGGGGATTGTAAGATAATGCCTCAACCCAAAAACCGTAAACCTCAAGGGTGCTTTAGAGGCCTTTCTCTCTAGAAGGCGATACTGGGGTTTATACGAGGTACTGCAGAGCTCCGGGAGTTCAATTTGCTAACCAAGATGGTGTGGTTTGTTGGGGGTTCTTGGAGTTTCAGGCTTCGATGTTGGGCCCAGGTGGAGCGTGGTCGGGGCTTCTTGGGCTTCTGAAGGCCTTCAGGTGTTCGGGCCCTAAGCCCGAAACTCAAAACCCCTGAACCCTCCACCCTAGAAAAGGGGGATCTTACTAGAGTTCGTCTACCCGTCTCGAGTGGTCTTCCCGGGTTCCCAGGTTTTGATGAAGTTTCGAGGATTCAGCTTTAGGGCATAAAAAAAGGTGTAGAGTTTCGGGGCTAGGGCTTTAGGACCCGAACCCCGAACCTTAGGGTTTAGGGTTTAGGGGTTGGACCATAGGTTTAGGTTGCAGTTGATTTTTTGGCACAGTTGCCCGCCACTGCTAGTTCTATGGCGGTGCATCAGCACCAATACTGTACAGGTCATTGTGCCGACTAGCCCATGCAGAGTAATTAGCAAAAGCAGTCCACACCAGAAGAACTCTAAACCAAACCCCTAAACCCCTAAACCCCAAACCCTAAACCTTAAACCTTAAACCCTAGGCCCTAAACCTTAAGCCTTAGGAATATCCCGCCGAATTTGGTCGCCCGACTCGCTGAACAAACAGCTGGGCATGCAGACCCTCGGCGTTGCTGAAGAGTCTACCCTTTAGGGTTTAGGTTTGAGGGTTTGGGGATCAGGGGTTTAGGGTTTAGGGTTTCAGGTTTACCGTGTTCTCTGAGAGACTTTGGATTCAGGGTTTGGGAACCCTTAGTCCCTAAACCCCAGGCCTTAAGCCCTAATCCCTAAACCCCATGCCCGAATCCCCAAGGTTCGGGGTTTGGCATGTAGGGCCTAGGGCCCCAAACCCTGAGCGTAGGTCTTGTTCTGCAAGGTTCTCTGTGGTTCTGCAAGTCTGGGGGTTTGAATAATGTCGAAGAGTATTGCTTACGGTTCCCTTCGATAAATATACAATACCCCAAGCCGTAAACACTAAACCCCTAAGCACTAAACCCTAAAAGTATGACCCTAAGCCCAAGCCCGTGACGTGGGGCGTCTGAGGGTATCTGCTTGCAGCTCCGATTTCACAGGAAGCCCCACTACCGCCAAAACCCAAAAGAGTAGCCAACAAAGGGAGAAGTTTCAGTGTGCTTCGGCTCGGGGATGAGGGGTTCCATTCTCGATTTTTTCGGTTGTTTAGGTGGAAAGCTTGGGTTAACGGTGTGCGGGATGCGTTGGCATTATCGGGCAACGGAACTCCGCCACTAAGGATAGCAGTGCTCAAGCACAGCGCGTACTGGAACATCTTCATGTTCTTGCTGCTGTCTTTTGGACGGCCTTCAGCAGGGCTTCCCTGCCGCCCACACAACCCTTCGAGTTTAGGGGTTTGGGGTTTAGCTACCCAGAGAGCCCAATATCCCTTAATTGAGGAATATGACTTAAATTATATAGGGCTTCATATTATGATTTAAGCTATATTCCTTAATTAAGGGGTATTTGGCTCTCTGGGTAAGCACCAAACAACGCAGAGCGATTGGAACCTCGCGATTGGAACCTCGAAGACTCCAAGCTTTCAGAGTCGAGGTTTTGGGGCTTAGGATTCAGGGTTCGAGGTTTCATGTATATATTATAGTCTATTATGACTGTACCTCTTAAACATAGTACACTTTCGTCAGTATGTTTACTGTCTATTCTAGCAGGTCTTTCGATGTGGGAGTTTCCGAAACTAGGGGATCCTCATATAGCACCCTAAATAGTAGGATCCTTGCTATAAGGACCCCCAAAATAAGGTCCCCCCCGAATTTCGGGAACTCCCATGTAAATGGAACTCCAGAAAGTTGGAATATGGATTAATGGTAGGATCCCCTATAATTTACCTTAAAGGGGTTACGATAATGATATTCCAACTTTCTGGCTTTTACCGTAGAGCCGTAGAATTTTGGGCTCTTGGGTGGAAGGCCTAGGGTTCGGTCCGAGGCTCAGTAGGGTTTTCGGCGGCGTTTCAGAGAGCTCCAGGGCGCAACAGACAGCAACGCAATAATTTAGGGTGTAGGGTTTAGAGTTTAGGGGTTTGGGGTTTAGGGGTTTAGAGGTTTAGGGTTTAGGGTTTAGGGTTCAAGCAGCAAGAGCGCAGAAAGACAACAAACTGAACAAAACAAGACAAGGACACACCACCCTTCATGAAGGGATCCTGTCAACCCCAAAGACCCCCTGCACCCTGAACCCTAAACCCGACGGTCGACAGCCTCAACCGAAACCCTACGCCGTCTCCGCGGAGCTGCAGGTCATCCTTGGTGGTCCTCTACGTCCTTCGCGCGGAGAGGGTGCCCGGGGCTGCAACAGACTGGTTTGGGGTTCAAGGTCGCGGGGTTCAGCGTTAAGAGTGGTTGAGGGTAAGCATGTTAGGGCCGGGTTTAGGGTTTAGGGTTTTGTGGGTTGAGGTTTTACAGTTGAGGCAGGGGTGCCACATGCATGTCGTCTTTACGATGAGCTGCTTGTTGGTACAACCGTTGTTATCACTGCCACGAATACGATTACTGTATCTATCATGTTTTCGTCGTGATCACTTTGTGTTTCATGATTATCATGAGCACCCATTTAAAGCTTCATAGCCTGCACAAACAATAATCTTGTTCGAGGTTTCCCAGTAGCATAATTATCTTCATCTTTCTCAGCCTTACAGCTAGCCTCGTCACGGCTCACCGTCATCATTAGTATTGTTATCACAATCCTCATAGAAACCTTCCTTTCTTGCTTTTGGAGCTGGTCTAGCTCACCGTTGCAGAGATCAAGGTTCAAAACCCTTAAGGGAGCCTCTACACTCTTCCGGAATGGAGGGGTTTCTGCACTCTTCCGGAATGGAGGGGTTTCCTTAGCGAGGAATCTAGAACCTTGAAGTTTTCAAAGGGTGCTACAGGGCTCCTTTCAGGGGTTAGGGCTCCATTGCGCCTTTAGAGTGAAGGGCCAAGTCTAGGTTTAGGGTTTAGGCTTCGGGTTTGGGGATTAGGCGTTTGAAGCCCGATTGACATCTCGTTTGGTCTTTGCTGCAGATACGACTGGACGAGAATTTGAACCTCGGCTGCATCAGCATACTACCAAACTGCAGTTCTGGGCGGGAATCTGAGGTTTCTATCCGTTTTTGTGGGCTCTCATGGAGCTTGGTCTATTTAAAGAAGAGTCTGAAGTGACGGGTTTCCGGATGTCAGGAACCCCTACGCCTTAACCCTGAATCCTAACCCCCAAACTCTATACTCTACACTCTAACTTCCCGAACCACAAAGCCTTAAACCCAAGCTTCAAACCTCAAAACCCCTCAAACCTCTTAGCCCCATTGCAATATTCCCATCGTAGTTTAAAGAGCCTGCCTCAACGGAGGGATTCTTCAGTCTTCGGGTACGTGCTGAAGACGTTCGCTTGGGCTTTTGAAACCCTTAAACCTAAGCCTTATCCCTAGAAAGGGCGCCAAAGCGCGCAGCACAGCGCGCATGGGCCTAGCAAAAAAAGCCTAAGCCTTAGGTCCTATATAAACCCTAAACCCTCACGCTTTTGCACCCCAGCGAGCTCGACTTCCGCAAGCGCAGAGACTCGCTCGTGAGCATGCCGAGACTCTGGGTCACGACTGGAACAAAAAATCCGTCATTGTTTGGGGTTTTAGAGCTGTAGGCCTTCAGGGTTTGGGTTTTGGGGTTCGTACGGGTTTAGGGTTCAGGCGCATAAGGTTTAGGTATGAAAACCTAGATGAATCAAGAGAATCCTATACGGCATATACACCAAGCCTGTGATGGTCCCTTCCCCACACATGAAGAGCCTCAGTATGATTTCTGTGATTCTCGTATGTACAATGTTCTACAACATCCTGGTAGCCAAAAAGGGTTCACAATGTAGAACAAGCATCGCATACTAGAGCATAATCTGCGCAAGTCCTGTTGAAACATCCTACCTCAACCCCAAACCCACAACCTAGACGCTGTTGATGGACAAAATCCTGCATGACCCTAAGGACTCTAAACTATGGGAACTATGGTATATTCCTTATAATGGTAATGCAGGATTTTGTCCATCAGCAGTACCATGAGAATCCCAAGTTTGAGGACGTTCCTGGAGATCACCGCCGTCTCCTTCTATGCAATTGAGGCCGACGGGAGGGTCTGATGAATGATACTGTTGATGGACAAAATCCTGCATTACCCATTATAAGGAATATACCATAATTCCCATAGTTTAGGGTCCTTAGGGTCATGCAGGATTTTGTCCATCAACAGTAAAGATTCCGTTGAGCGGTCCGACCCAATGAGGGGCTTTACTGTAATGGCTTCCTTTTTAAAAGGGATCTATAAATACAGGAATCAGGGATATAGGGGCCTTAATGATCAGAACAGGGATTTGAGGGTACATGTTTCCTAAAAGTGCCATACCGTGGTTATTATTCCGGCTTCTTTGCAAGCCCGGAAACCCTGAACTCTAAACTCAGAGCCCTCAGCCTCTCAATCGCAAGGTCGAGCCTTTCGGTTGGTTTTGGGTTAAGCTGACAGGGTAACTCGGAACGCAACGGGCTTCAGGAGATGTGCCACCTTCGATGTCAGCAAAGGAGGGGCCCTAATACAGACCTTCAGGAATCGCATCCTTTATACAAGGCGCGCCATGCAATAATCAGGGGGCAAAGAGGTCAGCATTCTGTAAACTTTAGAGGTACCTGGTTGGCTTGAACTCGCTGCGCTATAGAAGCTGGCTTTTAGACATTATTCCTTGAAGGGTCCTCATTATGGAGACGCGATAATATACCCCCAAAGCCCCACTTGGAGGGGCAGGGGACTTAGTAAGTAGGTGATAAGTAGGGTTATATTTGGGGTAACTCCATGTACGGTACTTATAACTCTACTTATAACCTACTTACTAAGTCCCCTGCCCCTCCAAGTACTTCGAAAGATCCCTCCGTCAGCATCGAGCCTGCAGGCCTTCAGTGGTTGAGGTTTTCTATCAGACGTCGGGTGCGAAGGGTTTGGGTTGTTTTGGGGGTTTAGGGTTTCGGGTTTACGGTTTAGGGCTGCTTGGGGGGGTTTTAGACTCTAAGCCCTAGTAAGGCCCAAACCCCTACACCTTGAACCCAAATACGTCGGCCCTACGTAAACCGTAAGCCCGAAACTCAACCTTGAACGGGTTGTGAAGTGGACGTTGAATACATCAACAGCGAGTTAACAGCCCGGCCGATAGGGTTCAAATGTTTAGGACTGGGTGCTTAGGGTTTTGGCTGTAGGATTTTGGGTGTAGGCTGCATTCGGTTGGTTTGGCTCGGAAAATCATGACCGCACTAAATCACTCTAAGCCGCAGTTTCTGCACTTGCTAGGATGCCCCTGGCTTCTGTGATTGCAAGGCTGCTTGTCCTTCAAGCATGGCTCTTATCTGTACGAGTACTTTTAACCCTGAATCCGAAGCCATGAAAACTGAAAAGCTAGACATCGAACCTTAAATCCCAAACCCGGACCCCTAAAGCCCAAGACCCCAAATCCCATGCGTTATATATATATATATAGATACATATCTGCATATATCGCGTTTTAAAGTTTGCTTTTTCTGGCCAGGCCTTCATCAACTGGTTCTACTACTCCAGTGGAGGGATCGATGGCATCATCAGGTTTTTCTGGGGCCGCTCGGTGCATTCCAGATATTAAGGTTTAGGATTTAGGGTTCAGGGTACTGGGAGGATCATGAGACGTAGTAACTAGAGCTAGTATTGAGATAACTATACTTATAATTGCTTATAACCCCAATCAGGGTACCTATAACCATACTTACTAAGTCCCATGATCCTCCAAGTAGCATTCTGACTTCTGGGTTAAGGCTTTGAGGGATTTAGGGGTTTTGGTGGCCAGATAACGCACCGAAAGACGCACTGTTCAACCACAGCCGCTTATTCGGACCTGATCTTGGAAGGTTGATGTTTAAGTGCTTGTCTGGGCTCTCACTAATGCAGCTATCGCAACCCTCTTCTTTAAGGCCCGAATATCAGGATCCCTACCACAATGCTTATTACGGGAGATCAAGTGCCTATTGAAGTATTCTGGTAGTACTTGAGTCCCCCTACACTCTAAAACCCTGACCAGCTTGACTCGAAACCCTAAACCCTAAACCCTGAACCCTAAACCCTGAACCCTAGACCCTATACCCTGGACCCTACACCCTAAACCCTAGACCCTATACACTGGACCCTAAACCCTAAACCAAAGACCAAAGACCGAGGCTACATGATGGTGGTGTGCCTCGTGATCCCTTCCGTCTTGTTTAGAAGTCTTTCCGGACAGAGTGCACTCATGCAGTCAAGCTTTCACGGTTTAGGGTTTAGGGCTTAAGGCCTAGGGTTTAGGGCTTAGGGCTTAGGGTTTAGGGGTTCAGAGATAGGGGTTGCAGGTTTATAACAACCCTGCGCAGCCGTACAAAGCCATGAGACACCACAAAAGACCCTCTAAAACCCTGTCCTCTTACTCTGCAGGGTTCAGCTTCTAAGCTTTTGAGTTTGTATTCTTGGACTTCGTAGCCGAGTGGATACACCTTACACTTTTTGGGATAAGATTACCCACTATGAAACCAAAAGTGTAGACTTTTGGGGGGCTTATGAACTCAGCAACTAAGCAGAAGGTTTTGGGGTGGAAAAAGCTCAAAGCAAGAAGGCGCTTCATAGTTAAGCGCATATGGGAGTTTCCGAAACTTAGGGGTACCTTATTATGGGGTCCTCATAATAAGGATCCTACTATTCAGGCTACTAGATTAGGGTCCCCTGTTTTCGGAAACCTCCATATATCCCATGCTCTAACCCTCAACCCTTGACCCTAAAATGGTGTGGACTAAGCTCCTGGCGATGGTTTTAGGGGCTTTGTTCAATGGAGATATCCGGGAACCCGAAGGGGAAAAATGTCACCATTTCTTTGGGCGGCCGTACTCAGAGTCTTCGGGAGGATGGGTTAGCTTAGTTTTGGGGAATGTGAACCTTGACAAGCACACCACCCAAAGACCCAAACATGACGCAAGCTAGGAAGATATGATGTCTTTATTTGTCATGTAATTCGTTACTAAGAAACCAAGACTTATGGGTTATTGGAGTTTCTGGGCTTAGTCTTGAATGCTTGTGCCAATCTTGGTGGCTTTGACCGCAGCAGCAACAATAGCGACAATTACTTAAAGGATCATGGGACTTAGTAACTAGAGTTTTTATTAAGGTAACTATACTTATAATTACTTATAACCCCACTTAGGGTACTTAAAACCATACTTACTAAGTCCCATGATCCTCCAGTTATTGTACCTTCTCATATTGGAGCTTTGCTAGGTCCTGCCACTGTCACATGGTGGAAGCAGACATGAATAGAGTGTTTATTCAACTCGGAAATCATTGAAGGACCGAGCATCATTACTCCATGTTTGGACTGTTGATGGTACTAGACTCACGGCAGCGCCATGGTGAGTTTGTTGATGAATCGTGCCTTTGACTGTTTTGCTGGCAGCCAGGGTGCTGATGCGGCAGTGGTTGCTGATGCTGCTGGCGCTGCTGCGATTACATTGTGATGGTTACGATGACCATGATGATGACGATGATAACGATGATGAAGGTCGTGCTGACGTTAGAGATGATGGCGATGACGATGATAACGATGCTGATGACGCTGATGACACGATGACACTGATGACGGAACCCAGAGCTCAGAGACAAGCCCATGGTAGTCTTAAGCCTGAATTCCTGAGCCCTAACAACCAGCTCCCCAAAGCTTAACCATAATACCCGAGAGCCAGAAAACATGGATAACTACCAAAAGCGCAAAGCCCAAGCAGCCCTAAAAGGACAAAAGCTCTGAAGCACTCGCGCCCGAAAGCCCAGAGGCAGCCAAACGCCCTCAACCCTGCGTGAAGGATCATGGGATTTAGTAACTAGGGTTATTATTATGGTAACTATACTTATAACTAACTTGTAATCACTTGTAACCTCAATTAGGGTACTTATAACCATAGTTACTAAGTCCCATGATCTTCCAAGTAAGCACCGAACCCTCAAGGGTCGTACTCTACTTAACGGATCATGGGACTTAGTAACTAGGGTTACAATTAAGGTAACTATGCTTATAATTACTTATAACCCCAATTAAGGGACCTATAACCATAGTTACTAAGTCCCATGATTCTCCAAGTACACCCTAAACACCCAAAAGCCTTTAACGCGCGAGAGGACAGCAGTCCCACTTTTCTTTCGCCTTCTGTGCGTCGATGCGTGCTTCGCAGATCTACAAGGACTCAGTGAGGGCTTCAGGGTTACAGAGTTTAGGAGTTTGGGGTTTAGGGTCTGGGGCTGGCTGAGGCTTATAATCGAGGCCTCTTTGGGCTTACAGGGGTTCTGTAAGGGGTTATACAGGTTCCATAGGATGTGTAACGGCTTATAAGGTTTCTAGGGATCTTTGGGCTTAGGATATATCACAGAGGGGTTAGGGGTTCATTGTTTGATGGTTTTGGGTTTTGGTATATTGCAGTCCTACAGGATTCAGAAGGGTTCTGTATTGCTGACGAGAGTTGAAAAAGGAGGTCCCACCGTGGGTTTAGGTTTAAGGTACAAGCACTTGATCTTAGTAGCCGAGTAGGTAACCTTGAACCTGTTGGGGTCTATATGACCCTACCATAATGTGAGGGCCTAAACAATCACCAATACTATTTTGGGGTTCCTTAGTATAGTTATTATTGAGGCCGCTACATTTTAATTGAAAAAGGTTAGGCTTTTTTTGGGCTCGGGTACTCAGCCCCCGAGGGATGGGTCTGTGTGCTTGAAGCGTCAGATGCGAGTTTCCAACCAGGTTACCATAGCGGTTGGCGGTGCCCGGCTTGAGGTTCATCAAAGGGGAAGAGGAGGGACCCTTAATGGGGACCCCTACCCTGTAATGGGCTATATAGTGGGTATATAATAGCTACATTAAGGGTAGATACCTACTTGGAGGATCATGGGACTTAGTAACTATGGTTGTAGGTCCCTTAATTGGGGCTATAAGTAATTATCAGTATAGTTACCTTGATTATAACCCTAGTTACTAAGTCCCATGATCCTTTAAGTAGGGGTCCTTATTAAGGGTCCCTCCTTTTACCCTTGGAACTTCACGGTTCAGGGTTGAGGGTTTAAGGTGTGTTCTCCCGGGCATATTCCTTAGCTTGGTCTAGGGGGTTCTGAAGAGTATATTTTAGAAGCTTCCCCCACCCTGTAATAGTGGTATAATAGGACTATAATAAGGCCCTAATATAATCCTTATAGTCATATTATAGTCACTATTACAGGGTGGGGGCACCTTCTAAAGTATATTCCTTGGGGGGACTCTGGCCTGCACTTGCAAGAGGCGGCATCTTTCTCGGATGTCGGAGCCATTATTTAAAGGGTCGTGGGACGTAATGAGGGGCCTGAATAACTGGAAAAGGGTCTTGGGGGTTCCTTGCAAAAGCTAGAGTATAATATCACCCAAAACCTACTCTAATTATTCAGGCCCCTACATTAGTACCTACATTAGTAACTAGATTATTGTTATTGGAACTATACTTCTAGCTACTTACAACCTCAGTTCAGGTACCTCTAGCCATTCTGTCTGAGACCCGTTATCCTCCAAGCAGCTTACCAAAACCTTTAAATCAAATCCCGGATTAGGATCTAGGGTTCATGGTTTTGGGCACAAATACCCTAAACCCTAAACCCTAAACCCTAAACCCTAAACCCAACAAGCCTAAACGCAGAACCCGTCCCCTGCAAGCCGTAGGAGTGGGTGACCTTCCACCGTCGTGGGCCGCGGGGCTGTATCCTCCAATACTTGGAAGATCGTGGGACTTAGTAAGTATAGTCATGAGTACTCTAATTGAGTTAGAAGTAATTAAAAGTATAGTTACCTGAATAATAACCCTAGTTACTACGTGTAAGTCCATGTAAGTCCCATGATCCTCCAAGTATCCTTTTTTTGGAAGGATCGTTGGCCACAGATTCGGGCCCTCGGTGGTTCAATTCTTACGGGGTTTAAAGGCACTACGGTTTTTTACTTTAAGAGCCCCAAACTATATGGGAATTGTGGTATATTCCTTACTTTGAGTGGGCATGATTTATATCATCAACCGTATCATCGACGCACTGCTTGTGTTCCATATCAGCATAGGGAGGTTGGCTTAGACTGACATTAAAACCCCCATAATCCTAATCTTGAGACCCACAGTCCTACACCCTAACCTCTCTAAATCCTTACACGCAGAAGCCCGAAACGCCTCAAAGCCCTAAGCCCTAAACCGATATCCTCGCCTCGTCATGGCCACTCTGAGGCGGATCACGTTCTCCGACCATCTGACCATGTACCTTTACCATTGTTGGGTAACATTTTACATTTTTATGGGTACTTAAACCCAATAAGGAATAAAAATGTAGATTTTTAATCCTATCTCAACAATGAACTAGGTACGCTGGTACCTTCTTCTCCGGCGCTTTCTCTATAGCCATGTTGATTCGCGAGCTCGAGAGTTTCGACGCTCGGAGTCAGCAAGAGGTTTGAGGTTTCCGCACTGCCGGAGGTGCCGTGTCCTAATCGGAAGTCCTTGAGCCCAGAAAACTTAAACTCTAAAGCCCTAAAACCCAAAACCCCAAGCCTTAAGCCCTAAACCTTAAACTCTAAAGCCCTAAACCCTAAACCTTAAACTCTGAAGCCCTAAGCCCTAAACCCTAAACCCTAAACCCTAAACCTTAAACTCTGAAGCCCTAAACATGTGAACCCGAACATCCCAATTCTGCGGCGTGACGCAAACTCTCTACATCCCACCCTGCCTCAATGATCCTCAACTCGAAACCCTAAACGGAACTCCAGAAAGTTGGAATATGGTTTCAGGGTAGGATACCTTATAATTTACCATAAAGGGTTTAGGGTAATCATATTCCAACTTTCTGGCTTTTACTTTAAAACCTCAAACCTTATTAGGCTTCAGGATGTAGGGTTTAGGGTTTAGGGGCGTTCCTTCGTTCAGTATTGGTTTTTGAGTTTCAAGGTAGGCGCTGAACTTCAGTTTTGTGTGTGGGTGTAGTATCGGCCGTAACCCTTCACAACTCCAACCCTGCGTAAACCCTGACCTCCAAGCCTTAAACCCTTCCTTGAATCATTGAAGGGGACCCTCAAAGGAACTCTAACTGCCCTCAAGGAAGGGTTCGATCCGAACTTCTTGAATGGCAGCGAACCGCCGGATGGCATCAACGCCACAGCGTATGAGCGATGGTCGCTCTTCGCCTCCTTCTACGTCATGTGCCAGGGGCAGCAAGAATACTGATGTGTTGAGGGTTCAGGGTCGGGCTATTTAAGGTACTAGCACATTTAACGAGAAGTGTTCTTCGCAATAAGTCTATATGGATGTATTAATGACAATAGAGGCACTTAGATGCTCGTTGACAGGCAACATCCTGCATTACCCCAAACACCCTCAACCTTAAACCTAAGCCCTCCGCCCCGAATCCTGGACATTTGCCGACTTAATAGAAATAGTGCACTCATGTTAATGGTGACTGTAGTAAGCATCGTGCAAATAATAAGGGTGATGATGGTCATCGTAGCTGGTGTAATAGAAGTAGTTGACGCAGGAAACTTTGAGCCATCAATGGAGTTTCCGGCATTTTCGGAGTGTTCGGCGGCGGTTTCATAAGGGTTTGCCGCATGTTCGGCCTTCGCTTCAACTCCGAAAGCCAAATCCTACTTGGAGGGGCGGGGGACTTAGTAAGCAGGTTATAAGTATGGTTATAGTCGGGGTAACTCCATTTAGGGTACTGATAACTCTAATTATAACCTACTTACTAAGTCCCCTGCCCCTCCAAGTAACAGTTTAGGTTTACGCGGTTTAGGGTTTAGTGCGTAGGGTTGAGGGTTAGAAGGCTGAATAATCAAGAATCCCTTCCTCCGTGTATTTAACACACTACATACTACCAACAATAAAAGCAGGTTTTTGGAAAGCCACCCTGATTTCATACCCGCCTTCTGAAACCTAATTTGCATTCAGAAAGAGCAAGAGCAGAGGAGCAAGAGCAGGAGCAGAAGCAGGAGCAAAAAGCAAGAGCACGAGCAAGAGCAAACGCAAGAGCAAGAGACACGGCAGGAGCAGGAGCCAAAGCAAGCGCAGGAGCAAGAGCCAGAGCAGGAGCCAGAGCAAGATCATTCAAAAGTGGCCAGTAGAAATAAAGCCACTCCTGAATAATGAAAGCACTTTCCGAGTTTATTGGGCCCCACGCGAAAATATTAGGGGGGAAGGAATTAATGGTTGAAACTATATGGGGCACTTAATGGCACTTCTACTAAACACCCTACACCCGAAAACCCGAACACCATGACGCCTGATCTCTCCAATTCTGAATCAAAACCCTCCAACCGCTAAACCGGACGAGTCTGTAGCAAACCGTTATCACACGCATAAAACGACCCGTAATGCTATGAAACCAAAACCCTAAACCCTAGAGCCCAACTCAGGGTGCTCAACACTTCCAAAGTGGGTTTCGGAGATCTGCTACCTCGAGACCCGGCAGTTTACAGTTTGGGGTTTTCGGTTGGACCAGTTGGGCCTAACCTCCTCGGATGTAAGTTTGACTTTTCTAGGACTTTTTCTGTCTGGTTCTTAGTAGGGAATGGGGGAATGGGTTACGGGGACTATAGTTGGGGATTATGTAGGGACTACTATAGGGAGCCACTGCCCCACTACCTACTACGACCAGACAGTTTTTCTGTTGTTTGCTGAGTTTCAGGGGATGTTTTGGTTTCAGTTCGTAGGTCGCCCATCTTTCCGATTTCAGGCATTGGGTTGGCGAGTTTAGGCGATTCTGGGGCTTGGTAGTAGGGGCCTTAATAATTAGAATGGGGTTTCGGGGAACATTATACTAAATGATAATAAGGAACCACCAAGATAGTATAGGTAATTATGAAGACGCCTATATTAGTCTTGGGCGGTTCAGGGTTTCAGGACTGCTGTCCTTGAGAACCCTACTTGGAGGATCATGGGACTTAGTAAGTATGGTTATTCTTAGCGTAACTACTTATACTGGTATAATTACTTTCTAATCCCAACTAAGGTACTTATAACCATACCGATCCTTTAAGTAAAGATTTCAGAGCTTAAGGGTTTCGATGCTCCAGGGTCTGAACCCGAGTCCAAGTCCCACACCCTCCTAAGGAATATGGCTTAAATTATATAGGGTTTCATAATATGATTTAAGCCATATACCTTAATTTTATGGGATATTGGGCTTTCTGGGCTTGTTGTGGGGCCAACGTGAGAGACTTGTTGTTTAAGCCGTTGGGCCGGATTTGAGCCAGGGGGAGTACCATAGGGGCCTTAATAATTAGGGTTCCTTTAAAGGGTACTATAAGGGTTCTTTTAATTAAGGGATCCATAGGGTTTAGGGTTTGCGATCCTACTTAAGTAATTGTAAGTATAGTTACCCTAAGAATAACCATACTTACTAAGTCCCATGATCCTCCAAGTAGAGGGATCCTCTTCTTGCAGTGAGGGCTGTCCGGATGGACGGATTCTCGAAGATCCGGGACCGGTGAGGCTTCAACCCGCATCCACAGGGACTTTCTAGCCGAGGCCGCGGAAACAATCGGCTGATTTATATTGACTTGACTTGAAATCCTCGAAGCTCTTCTGCGATTTCTTTCCGAGCAGAGCAGGACCTACAGAAGCGTGAGGAATGCCTGTCTTCTTAAGGGTGGTTGAAAGTGTCAGGGTTTAGGGCGTTAGAGTTCAAGATTTAGCGTTCAGTTTCGGGTGGGTTGAGGGTTTTGTTCTCGTGACATTAAAGGCCCCAAAGCCCACAAACCTTAAGCCACTCAAGCCCTAAACTAAACGCTAAACCCTACACCTCCCTCGCCTCCGGCGCTGCTTTCTTCCGGGTTTCGGGTTGGGCTTGTTTCGACGCAGCGTTACCTGTGAAAGCGTAGTTCCCTCATCCCTAAATCCTAAACCCGAAACCGTAGTTCTATTCTACCTAAGCTGCAACATACACCAGAACCCGATTTCGCATCATTGAGGCCCTTGTTTGACCCAGAGATCATGCCACGGCGGAAGGGCTGCTGCAGCTGTGGTATACGGCAAGGCTAGAGTTCGATGTCAGAGAGTTAAGAAGACTCGGCGGGTGAGGATCTCTGACGTGAAGATGTTCTGCACGCAGGTCCGCGAAGCACGTGAGTTACACGCTGTGCGACGTCGCCAGCTGCTGGAGCTCTGGCGCCAGATCGCCGCAATGGAACACCTGGAAGGAAGTCTGATGAAAGAGCTCGGATTTCTGTAACGTTCAATTAGGTTGCCACACCTCGCTCACGAACGCGGGAGAGCAGGGAAACAGCACCCTTCCTCATCAGGCATGCAGGCAATCTGGAGGAATGCGTGCTACAGATTTTGTACCAGGCATTCACCGGGGTCGCATCACAAAAGGGTCGCCGGCTTTCGCATGCGAGAGTAGATCAAACGCACATAGCCGCAACGAATTCTGAAGGCAGTAACGAGCTTGTCGCGGCGCGGCAGACACAGTCCTTCGGCATCGTGGTTCAAAAGCATTTCGACCAGCCTGTGCTGCAAACCAGCTCGCCCAATGCTACCTGGTCGCACTATCGACCTTGTGTATGCAATACAGCTTCGGCTTGTCGATGTCAAAACTGTCTCCTTGTTGTGCACCTGGTGGCTTGGATTTCTGGTTACAACAACGATGGGATGCGCGAGGATGACCATGCTGAGGGCCTGCTACGATGTTAGCTCCTAGGATCATTTCGAGCACGAAAGGCGGCGACGACTCGGCTCGCCCAGGTTCTCGCAGCCAAGGCGGACATCCGCTGGGAAACCGGTGCCCGGTTTCTCGATGCGGCGAAGCTCCAGGTCGCGTCAGCCACATCGAGGACACTTCTGCCCAAAAGACTGCGAGCACTTGGCAGGTCACGCCTCCCACAGCGACGGCATGCACCTCTCCGAGGAGGGCATAGTGGCGTTCGTCGCCGCGCTGAAGACCGATCTTCTCCATCACTCCTTGTGAAGACGACTGCAAGCTGTAGCTCCGGGGTGCGACGTGGACTTGATCATCTCGGACAGCTCACTGTGCGCCGTGAGCACGGGTGCATTGCAACGTCCGCACCGCCGGAGCGCACAGAAGGATCAACGTCAACTGCAAGGAGCGCGATTACGCGGCAAGGTCGCCGTGGACATGCTCTTGCCAGTGCCAGTAAAACTGGCATGGGGAAGCAGCTTTGTTGGCGGCGGCTTCAACAACCACTTGCTGCGTTGGCCGCTACCTCGGCGCAGATGCGTGAAAACAGCGGCATTTTCTACTGTGACCGAGGTGGGGCGCTTGGCGAAAGCTGCCGGAGAAGTCGCAGCCCGTCGTATTCCTGCCGTGCGCAGGCTCCCACCAAAAACACACTTGCGGGTCGATCGCGCATCTGCTGCAGGGAACGATGTCGGTGCCGACGTACCCCTGCAGGACTTAGTAGGTATGGTTATAGGTACCTCAATTGGGGATGTAAGTACTTACAAGTATAGTTACCCCAATAATAACCCTAGTTACTAAGTCCCACGACCCTTTAAGTTCTCAGGCATTGGAGATTTCGGACACCTAAGGCGCCGACATCCAACATGAAAAAACACAAAAGTTTCAATGCGAGACTCTTGAGACCGTACGGCCTAAGCCCGAAGGACTTGCTGTTGGAGGCTGTGGGCTTTGGGGGTGACGTCGGGCTAAGGGTGAGGTGAAACCGTAAACTTTAAACCATAATTTAGGATTTAGGGTTTGCATGTTGAGGGTTGGTTGCTCACCTCAGGTAATCCCGTGGCGCAGTTCTTCTCCCTTGTTGGCACATGCTCCTGTGTGCATCTCGGGCCTTAGATCGTTTAGGGGTTCCTGTACTGGGTTTTTGTTACGGGTTCCAGTTTAAGTTACCATAACGGGGTTCTAAAAATAAGCTTTCCTCATTCCGGTATCTTAAATTAAATTCCTAATCAAGAACCCAGTTTAATGGTTCCTTTAGGTTTCCTGGAAGGGTTCCTTCAGGAGGGGTCTTTTGAGGGCCCCCCCAGGGTCTCTTCATGGGTTCCTTGAGGCGGGTTCGTTTGGGGTTTCTTTAAGCGTTCCTTTCAGGCTTCCTCTACGGCCTCTTTCAAGGGCTCCTTGAAGGGGTTTCCAGAAGACTTGGGGTTTAGGGTATGTCGACTCCAAGACCCCTTTTTCCTCTGAGGAATACACATCATAAGGAGCCCTATCTACCTGAGCCTTGAAGGTTTAGTGTCCAGCGCGGCTGACGGGGCTCTAAAGGGGCTTGAAGGCACGTCCATGCGGCTACAGCAAGCGCAGGAAATGCTTGAAGCACAACGGCATCAAAACCAGGCTTTGAAGGATTTCGTCGCTCGCACAGCACGATCGTTGCAGGAAAACCAGCTTGTGGTGCTGCAATGCCTGTAAGCCCCAATATTAATAGTGAACCCAGCGCCCGAAACCTAAGGCACGAAGCCCCCCCTTCCCCCGACACCCCTAGTTGAAGGTTTTGCGCGCTGCAGCTAAGCCTGAACCTTAAACCATCAGCATGTATGCAGACTTTCTCAGTAGCATGATTGTGAATATAGCATCCCGCCATATCAACATGGGTTAGCCATAAACTCAGCAACGAGGTATTGGGGTTCAGGTTTTAAGGCTTTACCGTTTCGGTAACATTCAGAACCTCAAGTTGAAGATGTCTGCACTTCTGGAAAAATTGAGGTGTTTGTACAGTTCATGTGTTTATTGTAGGGTGCGCTCCTTCTGCAAGGTATCTTATGGCAACGGTGATGCTGAAGGTACTCAAGCTCAACGTGCCGCAGCTGCATTCAGGTAGTTTGGGGGCTCTGGGTTAGATTAGGCGAAGCCTCAAACCTGAAGCTCCAAACCCTAAACCCAAACCGCCTAAACCCTAGACTCCAAACCCTAAACCCTAAAACTCCCTAAACTTGTGGTCGAAGGTCCATGACTGCCTTCAAATCCTCCCGGTCGTAGGCATAGGTAGGGTTTGCCACACATCGGCTGGAAGTGTTTGGTCTCGTTCCCGACCGTCAACATACTCTGTTTAATCATGTCCAGTGTAGGGTGTGGTGCACCACTTTTTCAACGCAAGGACCTGTACTGTAATCTCACCTTCCAAAATACCTTGTTGCTTTCAAGCTTCGGGTTGGCAAGGGCGCAGTTTCAGGCACATGGTTTCAAACTCAGAAGTTGTCGCCCCAAGCTTGATTGATGAACGCGGGCTAGCTCTGCTTTGTCAAGCGAGTCTAGGCCTTAGTCGCTTTCGCGCCCGTACTGGTCATTACTTGTAGATGCCGCATCCCTGTCGTCGTGGAGCTTGTGATGATGACGGCGGCGGCGTCGTTGTCTTTCGCGTCGTTGTAAATACTGTTGAGGTAGGGGTGCAGCGACACTTGTGGCAGAGTTTGAGACCTCAATCCCAAAGATGCAACACTAATACAAGTTCAGACCCAAAAACCCGATTGAGTCTTGGTGTGATCTACATCTACTGATGGCTCATCGACCCCTTTGGCCTATACACCACAATGTGCGTAATAATGGGAGCTTAATAATTACCTGTACTGTTTTTGGGGGTCCCTTATTTTCACTGTACTCTCATATACCCCAAAGCCCCTAGTCTAATTCTTAAGGCCCCTAATATTATAGTACCCATATAGATCCCTTATAGGAACCCTTTTTGACCCCTTGATGGGAACCCACAATGTGCGGAAGTGTCAGGAAGCGGGCGGCCTGTCGCGTCCGAAGTACCCGAATCGGTCGGGCTACAGGCGATCCGACACGGATGGACCCCTAGTCCCTAAATAAGTAGGGTTTAGGGTTTAGGGGTTTAGGAGTTTAGGGGTTTAGGGTTTACGGGTTTAGGGTGTAGAGTCTGTAGGGTTCCCTTAAGGGATCTACAACGGGCTTCACAAGGGCTCTATAAGGGGATGCTCATGTAACTACCTAAATCTTACTTGGAGGTTCATGGGTAGTTATAAGTAGGGTTTACAATCAGGATACCTCCAAGTAACGCTGTGTTTGCTGCCTGGGGGTCTTCAAAAGTTTGACATGGAGGGCTAACCCTAAACCCTTATGGGTTTGTGCCACGATCTGATCACGGGATTTGTCCGCACATTTACTTCGTCATCTCCTCAAGGTTCTGTTTTCCGCAATTTAGTGATTCGGCGCTACAGGTTTGCAGAAGGTTTGCACGAGGTATTGCAGGCCCTCCCCAAACGAGAAATCCCAGAGCCTAAGAGCTATATGCCCCAAAACCCAAAACCCTAAACCCTAAACCCTAAACCCTGACCCTCAATGCTAGACCCCAACAGACCATCAGCTTGTTCTGCTCGGGTGCTTGGACTAAGACCCTAATTCAGCTGCCATCCTCGCGGTTTAGGGTTTAGGGTTTAGGGTTTAGGGTTTACTGGAAGTACGCAGCTGTCCAAACCGCGATAGGAGTCGGAAGCCTAAACCCCCACACCCTAAGTCCATGTGCTTGGGGTTCTGGTTCGGGTTGTGAAACGGTTCTATTTCGAACAACTCTCAGTTCCGACCGGTTCTCACTTCTTCGCTTGAGGTTTATTGATCGAGCGGGTGGAAGAAAGCTCCGCTGCCCAGGCACGTCGTCCTGACGGGCTCTGCATCGCTGCAGGTGTACATCGACTTCCTGCACGAGTGGCTTTGACCTAAACCCTAAATTTTAAGCCTATCGCACTGATTTCCTTGCACCCGTGTCGTTTTAAACAGGCTCAAGCATTGCAGAAGACTCTTCTTACCAAGTGCATGCACAAATTTTCTGGCCGACCCAGGTTCTTTCATGTCGACAATGCCTCCGAAACCGATGATATCGATGTGGTGATCCTGTGTCTGAGCTGCGATTAGGTCCGATAGAATTGTAATTTTGACTGTTGCGGCCCTTGTTGCAAAGTTGATTTGGTCTTATGGCCAGCGCATCCATGCCGTCATTTTCTTGATATATACGATTGCCAGCACTGCAGCTGCGGTCATAATCATTGTCGCCAGTGTTACCGTAGCTTTGAACCAGTCAGGAACGAAAGTAAAAACTAGCGATGTCTCTGGCCATAGCAGCGGCAGTTGGAATCACGGCAGCGAGAGCGCATGGCAATACCACACAAGCCTATCAACAATTCATTATCCTGTTTCCTAGGGCTCCTTACTGTAAGCAAAGTACAACATGCCCCAACACCCTCTTGAAATTCTTAAGACCCAAACGGCAAAGTTACGCCATCCCAGACTCGAGCCAGTGAACCACAGGCCCACAGAACCCCATAGCAAAGCCCTGAAGCCCCAAAGCTCTGGACCCTAAATCCTCTGCTTCAACTCTAAAGACTCTAAAAGCTCTGGACGCGAAATTGGTTCAAGGCACCTAAGCCCCTAAAACCCTAGAACCCTAAACCCTGAAGCCCGAATCCCCTAAACCCGAAACCCCTAAACCCCTAAGCCCTAAACCCCTTAACCCCTGAACTGCGAGGCACCTCGCAGGACATCGGAGTGTCATGCAGCAGCTCCAATCTTACCTTGGCCGCCTGGCGGCGATGAAGGGCTGCGGAGATTGCATGCTTAGGGTCACTGCCCTGGACTTTACAGATATATATATATATATATATATATATATACGTATATACGTATATGTCCAGTTCTACATATTATACTATATACATATGTATATATGCACATACATAAAATATATACACACATGTATGTATATATACAAACATATTTACATACATGTGTATACAGTCTTTACATGGATATGTGGGGGCAGGATTTTTGGGTTTCGGGGTGTTTGTAGGACTTAAGGGAGGGCGGTGGAGTGCAAGCAGCCCTGAATCAAGGCTTAAGGTTCAGTTCAGGGTGGAGGGTTCAAGCCTGGGACCTAGGCTTTCAATCGCAAGACATTAGGGTTTAGGGTTTCTGGTTGAGGGTTTAGGGTTCACAGTTTAGGGTTTAAGCCTGGGATCTAGGCTTTCAGCCGCGAGGCTCCTAGGCGACCCTTCTTAACCCCACTTCTGGCTCTCTTAAAGGGGACCTTTTTGAGAGGGTTTGTATCCCCAAGCGTCCCCCTAATCCTAACTCCTAAAGGCTGTTACCGTCCGTGCCTGCTGCCGAAACAGGCTGGTTTAGCAGAGACACTTGGGCGGACACCAAACAGAGCCTCAACAACGAAACCCTAAACCCTAATCACTATAAGCCCAAAACCCTTAACCGTAAACCCGAATCAGAAAACCAGAAACCAATCCTAAACCGTAAACCTAATCAGCAAGCCCTAAATCCTAAACCCTATAGACCTTGCAGCCCCCTTGCCCTAAGTTTCAGCGCCATATGCGCCTACTTGGAGGGGCAGGGAGGGGACTTAGTAAGTAGGTTATAAGGGGGGTTATGATTGGTGGTAACTCCATTTCGGGTACTTACAACTCTACTTATAACCTACTTACTAAGACCCCTGCCCCTCCAAGTAGGCCCTGGAAGGCTTATCAGACCTTGAACCTGAGGAATCTCACCAAAAAGCCAGTAGAATCCTCTGCAGCCCCGATTAAGTCGTTTTTTCGGGTGTGTAGGGCTAGGCCTATGAAAGAGCCCTTATTCAGCCGACATGTAGATGCCTGAATGAAATAATGAATATTAACAGTATTACTAACATATTGGAGTTTCCGAAAAAAGGGGTACCTTGTTTTGCGGTCCTCAAAATAAGGATCCTACTATTTGGGGTACAAGATTAGGGTCCCCTGTTTTCGGAAACTCCCTATACCCCGAAGCCATATTCTGATTACCAGGGCCTTTGTGGTAAGATTCAAGACAACCTTGAGACCAGGCATGTCAGGATCTCTATCCTTCTCTGAGTAGTAGTGTGGGGCTTCGGGGTTTAGGGTTTCGGGGTTTATATGGGGGTTTAGGGTTTCGGGGTTTAGGGGTTTAGGGTTTAGGGTTTAGGGGTCCTAGGAATGGAGTAGGTAATGAACCTTTAACCTTTCTGGGGTACGATAGCCCTTTTTCAATCCCGAAGGCTCAGCTTTGGCACCCCTAGGATACTGTACAAGTAAAGTAGTGAGAAGAGCCGCGCGAGCCTTACACCCTGGGCCCCATACCTCAAACACATCTAACTCCCACGCCTCAAAGCCCCTCAGCCGTGAAACCCTACAGCCGCAGACCCTAAACCCTAAAGCCCTAAACCCTAAACCCTAAAAACCCTGAACCCTAAAACCCTAAAGCCCTAAAGCCCTAAACCCTAAAGCCTAAGACCGACCCTAGAGCCCTAGACTCAAAAGGCCCGAAGCCCAAAAGACCAAGAAAGCCCGCCTGCATGTGGCTAGAGGCGACGATACTCCTCATCAGAAAGTAAGTAATACACAAAGGCATGAGGGTTCCTATGTCCTACATCCAAACAACTCTATCAGGACCTAGAGTAAGCCCATGTTCCTTTTCTTAGGGTTCAGGTTCCCTTATAACTTTTTTTAAACTTTAAACCAAGAAAGGCACCCTTTTTCTTCCTAGTTTACTCTTGGGTCTAGTTTGAGGGTCTTATATGAGGGATTTAGGGTTTATAGGGTTTACTTCAAAAGGGCACCCTTTTCATTCCTAAATTACTCGTAGGTCGAGACAAGCTCAGGAAACCCTAAACCCCTAAACCCTAAAGCCTAAACCCTAACCGAAAGACCCAGAAAGCAAGCTCAGGACATGGTGGGTTTAGGGTTCCTGATGATAATCACCTCTACTATTTGAGGGCTTCCTTATTGCAAAGAAAAGGTAGTAGTAACAAAAACCCTAAACCCTAAACCAACCCTAAACCCTAAACCCTAAACCGCTCAGGAAAAGGGGGCAGCGAAGACCTCCGGCTCCTGCGAAAGGTTTGGATGGTGGAGGGATCGGCCTTGACCCTCGCTCGGGTTTGGGGTTTAGGTTTAGGGTTTAGGGTCTATAGGGTTTAGGGTCTATAGGGTTTAGGGTTCAGGGTCTATAGGGTTTAGGCTTTAGGGTCTTGGGTTTAGGGTTGAGGGTCTCGGGTCTAGGGTTTAGGGTTTAGGGTCAAGCCGATCTGCCGCGTTGCGACCGTGGCGAAGAAATTCGCCAAGGCAAAGTGGGGACGAGGCCGCGAACCGACACAGACCGGGTCATCACGGAAGGGCTATTCCCGCCCGCTTTGCTGAGGCGTGCCGTTTCACTTCGTTTCCGGCTTGAAGGTCTTGTCCGGCAAAGAAGTCGTCTCCACTATCGAGCAGCCGGTCGCTGATAAATTCCGAGCCGTCGCAGCCATGTCTCGTAAAGCCTAATGGGACCTGCAGAGCTCAAGCGACGAAGCCGACTGAAGGAGACCTCGGAAAGCGAGAATCACGGAGACCCAGAGACGAGGGTTCGCAGATCATCCGGCAGCTCATCGAGGATGATTTCCGCCAGGCATTCAGCACGTACCATCCAAATCAGCACCTGCGCCCCCCAGACCCCCTGCACGCACGCGCTTCTCTAACATTGCTCACCCTCCTTTCTCCTTGAAACTCCTTGTCTTTATTCTTCTTGCTACCACGACTGCTGTTACTCGTAGTACTGTTAACACTGCTACTACTAGTACCACCACCACTACTATTCTTGCTGACATTAATACTACGCTTATTTCGTTACTTGACTAGTAGTACTTGAATACCACTAATGCTGCTACTGCGCGAGCGAAGCGTAGTTGAGCCCAAAACTTGCCAAACTTTCGCCCCGGTATCAATCAGCGAAGCATAGTCGAACCCAAAACTTTCCAAACTCTCGCTTAGGTATCGATCAGCGAAGCGTAGTTAAACCCAAGACTTTCCAAAGTTCGCTTTGGTATCAGTCAGCGCAGCATGGTTGAATCCAGCATCTTGTCGTGGACGATATCGTGTCCCCAAGCATTGTCGCACCCAAGCTCTTGGCTGTTCAGTCGAAAGTCTCCATCACGACATCGCCTCACGACAGCAACAGGCTGCAGGCCGCGAGGGTCATGACTTGCATCTCGCATTTGCCGAACCTCGACCGTGAGGCTTGTGGCGGTCCTGTCAAACGTAGCTTGCACAAGCGCGCGCAAACATGGACGGTTTTGCTCGATCTTGGTTTTGGTTGAGATGACTGCGCTGTGGCTGCCGGAATCTAACTCACTCGGCCAGTACATGAAAAAAGTGCTGCGAGCTGTGTTTTTATTCAAGAAACGAGCCATGTTGCAATAGACCACAGTACCTTTGTACGTCCTCTGTGATCTCGGCCCAAGAAGCAAGTTGAACGTGATTGGTGGCGCTCTGGAAGTTCCATCTTTAGTGTAGCCAAGGCGACGATGCGGCTCAAGGCCTGGAGTACAATCCGGATGGATGGCTGTTTTCTGTTCGAACTGCCTGCTGCAAAATTTGTCTTTAGTCCACATCACAAACTGTCCTCGGTCTGACATTTGGTCCTGACCATGGCCGCGCTGCCACCGATGCTGGTATCCACGGCTACTGTGGCCCCGCAGCCTCACTCGCAGCCATTGCAGCTGCCCAGCATCGTCGCCGAGTCTCGACGTGATCATGTAAGGGAGTCTTCTTTAGTCCTGTCTGTGTCTCATCATGGCTTCGTTCACGTCACTTCAAACTCTAAAAGCAAGGACAACTCGGGGACGTTTTGGGCGCAGGCGGTCGCTCCTTGTCTGGACTCATGCTGGCTGCGTGCGTTCGGTTGCCTGCAGCACGCTGTCATGTTCGCCACGGTTCGTCCTTGAACGCTCGTTTCTTTCTGAGGTTCCGCCCCCTGTGCCGGGGAATATCATCGTCTTCACGACGTGTCTCGCACGCACAGACGTGCTCTTCTTCCATGAATCCAAGGCCGATACTGCAAGTGAGGACGGCGCTCGGCGGCGGCTGAGGCGCCGTTGCTTCTGCCCAGTCCGACGCAGAACACATACATACAGACACACACACACACACACACACACACACATAGTTGGGCCAGCCTGTGTAAGAACTCTGCGAGGAGGCCTTTGCCTTGAGCTTGGGCTGCTACATCGGCAATCTCGAGCTGGCATTGCTGGAGTTTGCTTCTCAGGGAGGTGGTTTTTGCGAGCCCAACATCAGGCTATTATTATTGTGTCATGACAAGAATGTTCAGGTACATGCGGATGAGTGAGGCATCCTGACATATCGCACGCGCTTCCGGCTACAACAATGGAGAGCTGTTTTGTTACATGTTTGCTTTGAGGGAACTCATATGTCACATGTTTCTTATGCAGCAACATCTATCTGCAACGCTAGAAGGCTATCTAGACCTTTCGCACCCAAGTCCTCGAAACACTCGGAATTTGGTTCCTGGAGCCCCCGAAGAACTGTTCGCTGCTGCGATGATTTGTGGACGAGTCAGTGCTTCGTTGAAGCCCTTGCCGTGATGCCGCTGCATGCATGCCTGGCATCTGCCGCCTTTTGGAGCTCGAACGAGTGTACAGTGTTTTGCTTTGCTTGGGAGGCGAGTGTTGGTGACTCACAGCTTAATTGGCCATATGCATATCCTGCGCAGGAAGAATGAACCGCTTGGTCATCACTGATTTGGGCCGCATGCCGAAGACGGTGGCCTTGTCAAAGATCAAGGCGGGAAAGCAATGATGCCTGCCTTACATGTGCAAAGACGCAATGCCCTTGGGATCAGGATTTAGAAGACGGGGAACACGCAAGGAGGAGGCGTGTGTTGCAATGAGGACAAAGCAGACAGACAGTGTAATGGAGGACGTGAACGTGTCCTGTCCCATGTATCAGAAGTATGCGATGGCCTCAGTCTATGTGTCTATATGTGCCTGCATGGTTCTAGATGTGTCTATGCTTTAAAAAATGACAGGCTCGTAACTTCGAAATGCTGGCGACAGCCAACGCGTTGTTGGACACGGACCAGCTACCATTTGACGGAGTGGATGGGTTCAAGGAGAAGACGTGGCAGGCTGAACGATTTGAGTGGTAGTTTTGTGGGAGTCTTCTGCCGAACGCTACTCGGCTACGGCCGGCCAGGCTCTGGAGAGCGGAGACGAGGCTTGGGTTTAGGGTTTAGGGTCTATAGGGTTTAGGGTTTAGGGTTTAGGGTTTAGGGTCTAGGGTCTATAGGGTCTGTAGGGTCTATAGGGTTCAGGGTTTAGGGTTTAGGGTCTTGGGTTTAGGGTCTATAGGGTTTAGGGTTTAGGGTTTAGGGTTTAGGGTCTATAGGGTCTATAGGGTCTATAGGGTTTAGGGTTGAGGATGGTTCTTATCTAGGAGTTTCCGAAGCTTAGGTGTAGTTTATTTTGGGGTCCTTATGATAAGGGTTCTAGTATTTAGGGTACTATATTGGGGTCCCCTATTTTCGGAGACTCCCATCTAGGTATCGGTTTGGGATAATTCTTGCTTTCCCTCATTCTTTAGTGTGGCCTTAATTATCAATCATGTTGGGGACTGTTGAAATTGACACTCAGTCATGCTTTTGGTTCAGAGGTCAGTTTTAGGGTTTACGGTTTTGTGGCCTGTTGTGATGATCTTAATTCTGTGCTCTGTAGTACCCGTATGTTAGATGATGATAATGATGGTGATGATGATGGTCGCTATCACGAGTTGCGCACACAGCTCTTGACTTTTCGCCTTGCCATTGATCTTGAGGTGCTTGTACCTTGAGTGCTATGGTAGACCCCTGATGAATAACCACCTCCTATTAGTACCGTTTGCATTAGCAGTATGACCCTCGATTGCATTGATCTCGCTAGTGGAGTTGCTGACATTAGCCACCCAACATGCTTCTTTGGAAGTAGGCAGAGGGACCTGCTCAACACCCGACCTCACGAAGTCTTCAGGGAGCTCGTCCAAGCAAAGTCCCTGTCTCCGAGCCGTGCCCTCTGCACCCAACTAAAAGGCTGGCGAAGTGCAACAACAAGAAGAGGCCTCAAACCGAAGCAATCATTCGCGCCCACCCCCCAACCCTAAACTAAACCTTAAACCTTCAACCCAAGACCCAAAACCCTCAACCCAAAACCCTAAACCCTAAGCTGTCACAGCAAGCGGGCCCTTGCAGCGACATGTTTCTCCCAAGCGGTTGATCGGCAGTGCGATGGGATCCCTTTCATCGATCTGAACCGGTTTCAAATATGCACTGGATCAATCGGAATATGGAAAAGAGTTATATGCCGTGACACGTGCCATGAGCCAACAGTTCGGATGGCAAACAACGTCCGGCGGAACTTCCAACGTTATGCTGTTGGGCTGCACGCTCGGCTAGCTCGTCGAAAAGCAGGACACGGTGCTGGAACTCAGAGCAGTCTCCTTGTCCTGGGCCGAAGGCTGTTGGCTCGTGACTTCATCTGCTTCACATTGCCTTTTTCTGATGTAATGAACAGACAGTGTCCCGTCTGGCAGCCTCAAGCCCGAAATCCAAACCCCAAGCCCAATCCTGAAACCGTTAAAGCCCTTAATGAGACTCAAAGGAACCTTCAAACGACCCCGTAAGGAAACCCTTATAGGACTTACAGGATCCCTTAACGAAAGCTCAAGGGAACCCCAAAACGCTAAAACCTACAGCAAAGGCAAGAAAGTTGGAACATCATTATTTTCATGTCCTCAAGTTAAAGTCTTGGAATCCTAGCACTAATCATCCGTTGTCCATGCTCCAACTTTCTGGGGTTCACTACAAACCCTACACCCTAAACCCTAAGACCCTAATCCCTAAACCCTAAAACCCAAACCCGAAAGCCCCAGAACCTAAAACCGCACAGCCCGAAACCCTAAACCCTAAAACCTCTGTATTCCCTCTGGCAATGCAAAAGGGCCCGCAAAGAAAAAAAAAAACCCTAAAACCCCAAAGCCTCAAACCCCAACACCGAGCCTCCCAAGAAGCCCAGGAAAGCCGAGGACCTCGATCGCGTCCGCTTTTCATCGGCCTCTGCGGCCTTCCTCCTGCCAAACATGCGACCTGGACTTTGGGGTTTAGGGATTAGGGTTTAGGGTTTAGGGGGATTTCCGATTAGGGTTCAGGGTTTAGGGTTTAGGGTTTAGGGTTTAGGGGGATTTCCGACTAGGGTTTAGGGTTTAGGGTTTAGGGTTTAGGGTTTAGGGGGATTTCCGATTAGGGTTTAGGGTTTAGGGGGATTTCCGAAAATTACTTGGAGGGGCAGGGGACTTAGTAAGTAGGTTATAAGTAGGGTTATAATTGGGGTAAGTCCATTTAGGGGACTTATAACTCTACTTATAACCTACTTACCAAGTCCCTTGCCCCTCCAAGTAGGGGTACCTTATTTTGGGGTCCTTGTAATAAGGGTCCTACTAATTAGGATGCTATACCAGGGTCCCCTGTTTTCGGAAACTCCCAAATATCCCATTAGATAGTTTGGGTCTATGGGCCAAAAAGGCTGAACAAATGAGTCCTTAGATTTTATAGATTTAAAAGGGTTCCTTGAGGGGTGTTCTAAGGGATTCTTAGATGACTCCAGATTGGTTTAGGGTCGAGTACCCTAAACCCTAAACCCAAAACCCCTATATAAACCCCTAAACCCTAAACCCCTATATAAACCCCTAAACCCTAAACCCGACCCTTATTGGGACCCTTCTTGCAAAAGGGCTGCTCAAGAACCTAGATTTGCGTCGTTCTCTGAATTACGGTCCTTTTCAGGGTCTCTACAGGGTTTCCATAAGGCTACTATAAGGGGGTAGTTCTCCAAATTAGGGTCCCTTTTAGGGTCCTTTTTCTGAGGGTGCCGCACCGACCTGGAATTTATCGGGGGAGCTCAACCGTTTAAACCCTGCCCTAAACCACGAAACCCCTACACTTTAAATCCTAAACCCCAAGCCCCACCCCAAATAGTGAGATAAATACATATGTATGTATGTGTGTAACGTATATCATTTACTAGTTTTTCCATCTGTTCATTTATCTCGGGGATACAAATACCTGCAACCTTCGGTTCCAATAGTCCTTGCAAGAAGGATCGTAAGGTTTACCTCGCGGTACGTTTTTTTCTGAAGCTCCGTTATTGTGATAATGTCGTGATCAGGGCATAAGGAACTAAGGTTTAGAGTCGATAGGTTTTGGAGCTTTTCTAGGGTCTGTAGGTTTTACGCGCGGAGCATTTGAAAGGTTCAGGTTTCAAGCTTGGGAGATGTATGTTATGAGTCCCGGTGCCCGAAGGCCCCTAAACCCTAAACCCATAGGCCCTAAACCCTAAACTCGGTTTAGGGTTTAGGGTTTCTAAACCCAAAGCCAAACACCCTAAACCCTAAACTCTGGAACCCTGAAGTCCTCTGGCCCTAAACCCTAAACCCTTCAGAAAGCCCCAAACACCGCAAGCATCGTAGACCCGCCCCAACGTTGCAAACACGGTTCTAGCTGCCAGATTGAGGTTTGTCCCTGTGTAGCGTTACTTCAACTGTTAGTGGGTAGGTCCGAAGATGCTTCAAGCAAGCCCCCAACTAAACCCTACTCAAAGGATCATGGGACTTAGTAACTAGGGTTCTTATTAAGGTAACTATACTTATAATTACTTATAACCCCAATTAGGGGACTTCTAACCCTACTTACTAAGTCCCATGATCCTCCAAGTACACCCGTAACCCTAATCCCTAAACCCGGCCATAGGCCCTGAACCCTCAACCCTGAGCCATGAGGTATGGGACTGACCCGGAGAAGGAGGACGTGGGCAACCTCATGCGAGCCCTTACCATGAAAAGGCTCCTCTCTTGAGAGGTTTAGGGTTTTGGGTGGCCTTTTCCTCCGTAGTCTTTGAGAGATTCAAGGGGACCCTTCTTACACCTACTTCCGGCCCTTTGAAAAGGAACCTTATTGGGAAGGTCTACGCTAGACCCCTGGGCAGGGGAGTTAGTAAGTAGGTGATAAGTAGAGTTATAAGTACCAGAAATGGAGTTACCCCAATTATAATCGTACTTATAACCTACTTACTAAGTCCACTGCCCCTCCAAGTAGACCCTAAACCCTAAACCCCATAGATCCCTTTAAGGAATCCTATAAATCCCTATAAGGAGCCCCCTAAGAACCCTTACTAAGGCCTACCTTTAGGTTTCTGGCTTCGGGGCCGGGTAGTAGGCCCAGTCAACCTTCGGACCTCTCCTCTTAATGATTACCTATAGGATCCTTAAGGGAGGGTGGTTCAAGGGGGGAGGGTATAAGGAATCCTTAGGGGACTGTAAGGGAACCTTAGGGAGTACTAGGGAGAATTAGGGATCACTAGGCTATATACCCCCCTTGGACCCCCCTCCCTTAAGGATACTACAAATTACCTGTGCTAATTTGGGTGGTTTCTTATTGTAGGGTTTACGACTTTAGGCTGTAGGGTTTAGGGGTTCCTTCTCATAACTAGAGTAGACGGGGCTCCAAAACCCTATTCTGATTATAAAGGCCCCTATATTAGGCCCAACCGATTTCGCATGCCCAAAATTCGAAACCTAACACCGCAAACCCCAAACCTTACTATGGTGATGTAGACCCTTGAAGAAAATTTGCCCAGGTACCATGACTGACAGAGGGGGTTCTACTAATCAGGGTCTACATTACTGTGTACATTGTTTGTGTTCCTTTCCGGATGAAGTGGGCTCTGGGAACGTTGGCTCAAGCCCATCGGAATCCTCCTGCCAGACACCCTCAAGCCAAACCAGCAAAACCTCATGCCCTGGATCTTAGATTAAAAATCCCCCCAAGCCCCAAATTTCGGAACCCCAGGCCCCAAGGCTAACATGCATCAAACGTTCTGCCAAAGACCTTCACCCCGAATCCCAAGCGAAAGTTCAAGGTTTGGGTTTAGGGTTCCCTCGCCAACCAAGCTGGTCCTGAGCTGCTTGTCGCATCTGAGGGCTCACGGGGCTCGCGGTTTAGGATTTAGGGTATGGGCAGTATAGGGTTTGGTGTGATTGGATTATCAGCTATGCTCAGAGTGCACGGGTGACAGCGTTTGGGGCTTGGTCCTACTTGACAAGTCAGGGGACCTAGTAAGTATATTATAACCCCGTTTGCGGTGCGTACAAGAACCTGCGTGCTAAGTCCTGAGACTCCCTGCCGAATCCTTAAAGCCATGACCCGAACCCTACACCATTAACCCTAAAGCTCTTAACCTTCATAGAACCTTCTCTGCCCCTTGGTAGCACCCCAAAAAACGTACTAGGAAGTATTCTGTAACCGTATCATATAAAGTTAGAGTTGCATACTATTATGGCCCCTAAGCCCTAAATCCGAAAGCCTCTTGAAATCATCAAGGTCCTTATCCTACCCTATACTTGTGGCTTGGGTGGGACTTGGGCACCGTTTCAGGGTTGACTCTCTGGTTCTCTATATAGGGTCGTCACTCTTTTGCTTTAGTTTGGTTTAGGGTTTAGATCAGTTTTTTTGCAGTGTTTCGTGCTATTATTGTTCTTATGGTTTGATATAGGGGTTTGATCGTGTTCTCATGGGCTTGAGTATGTTCTCAATAGGGTCTTATAGGGCGTTCCTAGGATGTAAGGAAGCATTCTACTTGGACGGGCAGGAGACTTGGTAATTAGATTATAAGTAGGGTTATAATTGGGGTAATTCCATAACTCTACTTAGAACCTACTTACTAAGTCCGCTGCCCCTCCAAGTAGACCTTGACATGAAGCAGCCTACATTAAACGCCAGTGGGCTCTCTGGATCTATGCCAGGCACACCTCCTACATCCGTGTGGTGTGCATGATGATGAAGGCCTCCCCTTGTTTGCGACAAGTTCAAACGTTGGGTTCAAGGGGCCCTATCTTGTACGGGCCATAATGCTTGGAATAGGGTTTGGGGTTACATACCTTCCGCGTAGATATTCTACAGGGTCAGAGACTTGACCGCTCCTCAAACGAAGCCCGCCTAAACCAACAACCTCAAACCCCACATCCTACAACTCCAATTGACTACTCCCACAATGGAAGCGCTCGAAAAGCCGGCACCCTCAACAGAGCCGGATAAAACCTTACGGAGCGGACCCTGAATCCCTTAATCCCAAACCCAACCTTGAAGCCTGAGCCCGAAGACAGAAACCAATAAGTTAGATACATGACCCTGAACCTGAAACAAGACCTTGCATAAACTTTTGGTGTTGAGGGCTTGGGCACCTAGAAAGAACTCAAGATCCTTCTCTGCACATCGCTACGGTGCCCTCATGCAGGGCCCCTTTGTTTTTGGATCTCCAAACAGGGCATATCGTTCCAATGATAGGGAGCCCGGGCAATGATTCAGAGAACCCTAAACGCGAAACCCTATAAACCCCTACAGATACAACTGAAAAATTCGATAGGACCCTAGAAATGCCAGAGAAATAAACCCTAAATCCTAAATTTCACATGAAGGCCCACTCCATGGAGGGACTTCTGGCCGTCGGTGTGCCGCGCCCGGACCCCAGCATTCTTCGGTCGGCTCAGGGATAGGGTTAAGGGTTCAGGCTTTAGGGTTTTGGGTTTAGGGTTTGAGGTGTAGCCGCCTGGATAGTTCGAATTGGATTCTTATTCTTATACTTGGAGGATCATGGGGCTTAGTCAGTATGGTTGTAACTACCTGAATCCTGAATCGGGGGTGTAAGTACTTACAAGTGTACTTACCCGGAGAATAACCCTAGTGACACACGATTGCAGAGGAACGTAGAATATCTCTGACGTTCTTCCAGTCCCACGATCCTTTTAGTAGGATTGTATAGAAATACAAAGAAACGCTATGATACCTTTGATACGACGGTTTCATAGGGTGTTTTGTAGGATACAGGCACGGGTGTTCTACTTGGAGGATCATGGGACTTAGCAAGTATGCTTATAGGTACCTTGATTGGGTTTACAAGTAATTCTAAGTATGGTTACCTTAAACATAACTCTAGTTACTAAGTCCCATGATCCTCCAAGTACATCCCCCATCAATGTCTTGTTGTTGATTTAGTTCGGACTTTTGTAATCAGTTGAGCGTGGGGCCATGGATTCTCATCCCGGCAGCGAAGAGAGCATCCTCTTTCCCATCGCCAGCACCGCCGTGGCGAAAGGAGGCGGCTTCATCATCATGGCCTAGTAGAGAGGCCTTAATGATTACCTAAACTATTTTGGAGGTTTCTTTTTATAAGTATAGTAGAATGGACCCCAAAACCCTATTCTAAATATTAAGGCCCCTATATTACTGGTCTCGATGGCTACTTCGAGGAGGCCCGGCGCAACCGCTAGATGGAGGAGCTCACAGGCGCAGATCGCATTGCAAATCATGGTAGCCCCTGACACCTAAAGGGAACTCCAGAAAGTTGGAATATGGTTTCAGGGTAGGATACCCTATAATTTACCATAAAGGGTTTAGGATAATCATATTCCAACTTTCTGGCATTTACTATACTTGGAGGATCATGGGACTTAGTAACTATGGTTATAAGTCCCTTAATTGGGGTTATAAGTAATTATAAGTATAGTTACCTTAACTGTAACCCTAGTTACTAAGTCCCATGATCCTTTAAGTAGGCGGCGCGTGCCAAGTCCGCGCAGCCTGAGACTAACAGGCCGGACGGAGGCTTCGTTACCCAATGCCGATCCAGTCGCCCGTGCTCCCGCCGAAGTTGCCCAGACTTTGCTTGATGTGTGGACTCCCTGATTCTCCGGGTTTGCTGCAATCTGCAGATGTCAGTCTGCTGCGGCGGCTCCTCGTGGCAGCGCTTCTTGCGTCCCTGTGGCTCTATGCACGCTCCTTCTTAAGGGATGCTGAGAGATCAAGATATACAGTAGAATCCCAAAAGTTGGAAACCCAATAGCCTCAATCCTTAAGAGTCATGTATGGGGTATCCCAGCACTATTTGTCCTTTATCCGGTTTCCAACTTATGGGGTTTACTATAGGGCTTGGACGTAAGAGCGTCTTGCGGTCGTAGGGCCTTGATGGGTGAGGGCAGTGCTTCAGTCCTCATGCCATCGACTCGAACACTGGTTCAAGGTTGAGGGTTTAGGGTAACTCAGCTTAGAAAACTGAGCCTTAAATCAGTGCGAACCTGTAACACTAAATGTCACGACTCGCAGTGCCTGAATCCTGAGCTATCCGAACCCCATGCAGCAGCCCACCGTAAGCCTCAACTGTTCATCCTTGAACCCTAAGTGGCTGAGTCGTAAGCCGTATTCTCAACGGCCCAAACCCTGAACCGTAAAAGCGAAACCGCATTCTCTAAACAACCCGAAGGCCAACACCCAAAACCCCAGCCTTGCACTCTAGACCCGGGTTCCCCAAATTCCTAAATCCCAGACCCTAAATCCTAAACCCTAAACCGTAAAATCCCGAATGCCCGGAACCCTGGCGTAACTAGCCATGCCGAGGACAGGACATCATCTGCTTCGATTCAGTGGCTCAGATCGAAGAGCCTAATATAAGGGACCTTAATCATTTCCTATACTATTTGGGGTGTGCCGCATTATCAATATAGTTCCTATAAGGGGATCCATAAGGGTACTCTAAAATAGGGCCCGTAATAATTGCCTATACGATTCTGGGGTTCCGTATTATACTTTTAGCATAATGGCCCCAAAACCCTATTAATATTGGAGGAGATCTTGAGCTTTAAGAGTCGGGTTTAGGGTTCAGGCTTTGAGGTTTTCAGGGTTTTCGGGTTTAGGGTTGGAGGTTTAGGATGCGGGAGAGGCGATTCGGCTTTCGTGTGTGGCTGTGAGGGTCCGGAGTCTTTCCGGTTCCACTCTTTGGATCGAGCGGCAACCCCACAGAATCCTCATTTGCTGCGTCGTAATGTACGGGCCGGAATAACTAGCAGTATGATTCCTAAGTATTCCTTTTCGTAAATGCATTGTAATATACCCTAAAAAGCCAATTCTAATTATTGCGGCCCTTAGATCAAACCTCACAGAGCCTCCTCAATGCTAGAAGCCCGTCAGAAATACAGATGAATATTGTAACCTTGTAGGGTTTAGGGTTTGGGGTTTGGCATCGCTCCCCGCCGAGGGTGAGCTGTTAGTCGTTGGCTTAATGTGGTCCTTCCGTTTCCGTAAAATCGGAGATGGTGGCCGCTAACCACCCACTAGGATCTCCAGTAGTACCCTTATTCCCTTTTTATAGTCCTAGGTTCCTTATAAAGTTACCCAATACCAAAAAGAGAGGCCTTTTTATTCCTAGGTTACTGGGTATCCTAGCCCAAGAGAGGCAAGCTACTTGGGGAAACCTCGGTTTCCGCTTCAGTGCTATGCTTGTCTGGGATAGATGCTTTTTTTTGGTTTACTTTAAAGGGCTCCTTTACGGTTCCAAAGGTCACTTAAAGGGCACTACGGGTGGTTTAGTAAAGATTTGCATGTGCAGGCGTGCCAAAGCTACTTGGAGCATCATGGGACTTAGTAAGTATGGTTATAAGTACCTTAATTGGGCTTAGAAGTAGCTACAATTATAGTTACCTGAGTAATAGCCCTAGTTACTAAGTCCCATGATCCTTTAAGTAAGGCGATCGGATCTGGGAGCTTCTCGCTGATTCTCGCTGAAATTCTATGATATCCCTGGAGCCTTGGGAAATCCTTTTAAAGGATGGCTATAAAACCTGAATGGACCCTAAACCCACGCCCAAAGCCCCCCAAAACCCTGGATCAGGAGTTTCCGAAAATTAGGCATGCCTTATTTTGGGGGTCCTGAAAATGCGGATCCTACTTGTTAGGGGTATTATATTATGGTCCCCTATTTTCGGAAACTCCCATATGGGATACACGATCGACTGGTCTCCAATCGGCCGATGCAGGCCAATCACACAACATGCTCTAACGGTTGATGATATAAGTCCTGCATTACCGTAAGGACCCTAAACTATGGGAATAATGGTATATTTCCTATTATGGGTATGCAGGATTTATATCATCAGCAGTATTGAGGACCATAATGCCCCCGGAATACTAGGCTAGACTAGACTATATTTCAGTAGACTATAGCTAGACCAAGGAACCCTAACATTGTACGGTACTCTAAGCCTATGTATACGATGTTACACTTTACTAAACTACACTGCATCCTACGCTGCTCCACTCTACTCGGCTCTACTCCTCTCTGCTCTACTCCACTCCACTCTATTCTATTCTACTATACTCCACTCTACAAAAACTCGACTAAGGAGCCCTAAAACGATAACGATATTCTCTTAGCACTTAAAGGATCCCTATAGATCCCTAAAGGGATTCATGCTTTCCAGAGGTGCTCCAGGGCCTCATCGGCAAGGCTGCTGAGGTCCAAGGCTACCTGCCCCTGCCGGCCTCGATGCTCAAGACTTCCAAGGCACCTGGGTTTTACGACTTTCTATAGGGCCTTAATGGTTAGAACAGGGCTTTTGGGCCCATTATAAATATGCTATAATTACCGAAAGAGTGGTTGTCAAAATTAGGGTCCCGTTTTGGGTCCCTATTATAATACGGCACCTATTGTTTAGGGTACCCCAAAAGGGACCCTAATTTTGACAACTACCCATAAGGAGCCACCAGACTAGTGTTGGTGGACAAAATCCTGCATGACCCTAAGGACTCTAAACTATGGGAACTATGGTATATTCCTTACAATGGGTAATGCAGGATTTTGTCCATCAGCAGTAGTTTTGGTAATTATGGAGGACCTTGTAGTCGGCTTTGGGGTTTTGAGGGGTTTTGGGTTTAGGGGTTAGGGTGTAGGGTTTAGGCTTTAGGGGTCAGGGTTTAGGGTGTAGGGTCTGGGGTTTAGGGTGTCGGGTTTGGGATTTTAAGGGTTTAGGGTCAGGGGCTAGGGTTGAGGCTGTGGGGTTTAGGATTGTGGCTTTGGTGGAGGCCAGGGTTTCGTGTTTTGGATTTTGGTGCAAGGGTTGGTGTTTAGGGTTTAGGCTTAGGGGCTGGGGTTTAAGGGTTCTGAACATGGAAGTTTCCTAAATTAGGGGTACCTTCTTTGGGGTCCTTTTAATAAGGATCCTACTATTTAGGGTACTATATTAGGGTCCCCCATTTTCGGAAGCTCCCACATAGGCTTTAAGGCTTTAAGGCTTGGTGTTTAGGGTAGAGGTTTACCGTCCGCCTTTGAAGTCTTAGGCCCCCAAAACCTGGAAACGTGCACATTCAGGCAACAGCCCTTGCGGCCTTTCAACCCCAAGCCAAACACCCTAAACCCCAAACCCAAAGCCCTGAACCCCAAACCCAAGCCCTAAACCTTACGGCATGACCGAACCCTAAATTACCTTATAACCCTGAAAGTCCAGCAGCTGTTGGAGGGCGGAGAGTTGAGAAGTCGAAGAACCCAGCCTGCCAAGAATGGCCGGTGGCCTCAGGACGAGTTCAGGAAGGCTGCACTTACCCAGACCAAAATCCTTTAGATAGGGAACATACCTTAAACCATGACAATGGTAGGAACCACAACATGATTGAGGAACCCCGATATGATTCAAGGTAGATTCCTTAGTTAAGGGTTTTGGAAGGTCTGGCTATGTCGAATGCAAACCCCTTCCAACTCCAGAGGAATCTCAGCTTGTCTGAGTCGACGTTCTGGCTTGAGATGCCATCGCCAGGTTGTTGTTCGTAATTGTCCCAGACAGCGAGTCTACACATAGCTTCGAACGATGCTAACTCTGCCAGCTCCGCCAAATCCTGCGCTCTCTAGCTGCTTCGGGAATCTGATCGTGCGGATGCTTCTCCTCAGCGTGGTCCAACAGCGTTGTCACACCTGCGCAGCACGCAAGGGTGTTCGAGATAAGATTCGACGAGACTTGGCGTGCCTGCAAGTGCTTGCCGCTCCCTATCTGCTCGACGCTGCTGAGGAATGGTGGGATGAGCTGCAGGAAGGAGAGGGTCGCTTTCATCCTCGACGTATCGGGCCTCTTCCCTCCGAGTTGCTGCACCCACGAAACGAGCCTTGGTCACAGCGACCAAAGCATCGAAGCTGCTCCTTGGGGAAGTCGGCACCGCACCACAAGCACTGCACCGGGCGGGAAATTCACGCACGATGTGGCGCCGACTGCACTTTTTGAGGTGGCGTCCATGCGCGCCGGCACTCTATTAGAGGTGCTCTTCGGGGTGGTGTGAAAAGTTTGCTCTTTTAGGTTTGCCCTTGAGCACTGACATGTTTCTTTTCAGCATGAAGCACAATCCAAACTCGGCCAGGGACTTGCCTGCACGCAATGGCAGCCCACTCAAATGTTGCTACTCCAAAGCAGTTGTCTTCAAGATTGTCCGCGCCTTGCTCGATTCTTGACAATTGTCCGTTTCTTTCTATCCAGGTGTCCAACGGGCAGAAAGAATCAATGCCTCGTTCAGGACGGTGTGTGACCTGCAGCACGCGGTTGCAAGCGCATTGTGCAAGCCTCAACCAAGTTGCGTTTTCACACACGAGCCCAAGTTCTGCGTTTGGTGCTGTCCGTCTGATCTCGCTTGGCGATGTTGCTTTGAGCGGACCCGTAATTTTGACAACCACCCATCTTGATTCCTCAAAAGTCTTTGTGTGGTCAGACGTGCCCTTGCGGGACTGGGAACAGGAAAGCTCCGCAGACGGAGTGGTGCTTCGGTTGATGATATAAATCTTGCATTACCCATAATAAGGAGTATACCATAATTCCCATAGTTTAGGGCCCTTAAGGTAATGCAGGATTTATATCATCAACAGTTCCAGCTACCGAAAACGACGAGCTGCAGCCCGCATGACCGATTTCATAAATCCCCGACGCTAAACGCTCCTATACCCGAAACCCTAAGCTCAAAACCCTCAGAGCTCTCGGGCTCTCTCGGGTTCGAGGTATAGTGGCCGAAAGAATCCAGATCCCCAAAACCCTAAACCTGAAAATATCCCTAAAGCTTCCCAAACCAATGTAAATACACAAAACACCCTCAACAATACACGCTACGGCCTAGAATCAAGAGCACTAAAACCGTGAAGCACTAACCCTAAACCCTAAACCCTAAACGTGAACCTCCGCGAGGGGGCATCGGTAACGTCTTAACTTGCCGACAGAACCTCCTCGAGCCAGAGACCAACACTCAAGGTTTCAGGAGAGTTTCTTGGGTTTGGAGTACCATACTTGAATACTTTTTTTGGCACCTGTTCCTTAAAGGAACCATTATGAACTGAAAGTCTATACTTGTTTCTCCTTGGTTACTTCAAAGTCCAGGTTTACAATAGAACACAGGGGCCTGAATAACTAGAATAGGGTTTCCGGGTATATCATCCTGTAATCGCAGTAGGAAACCTCTGCCCTACAGTCCTGGGCCAAAGAAGTCTCTTTGATTTGTGCAGGCCTTGTCCAATGCAGAGCTGCCCGGCGGCAATTTTATGCGTGGGAGCTGAGGAATACTAAGCCTTACTGTTGCAGTGCAAAATAGGAGCTTAACAAAAGCCCTACTATCCGAAACACTAAATCCTAAACCCTAAACATTCCTAAGTTGCCAAACCTTGATCGCCCGATTTGCGAAGGATATACCCTGACCTAAAGGTTCAGCCTTAAACCCTAGAGCCTAGCCTATAGCCCTCCAGCAGTAACCGCACACCCTGACCATCCCAATAGTAACACTAGTACCTTTATGGTAACGGCAGACCCTAGACCCTAAACCCTACAGTAAACCTTCAGGGTAGCCTCTCGGGCTCAACCGAGGATCACCAAGAAGGGGCTCATTTGGGCGGAGGATTATGCTATGAGCTTAGGGATGACTCTGTTTGATGCCTCTCGGCTGCATCTGGTTCGCTTTTGGCTTTCAAGGGCTCCTTTGAGGATTCCACACAAGGGGGGGTTAGGGTTGAAGTGTTCCGCGCAAGTTGCTGCACATGAAAGCCCCTTACTGCCCAGAGAGCCCAATACCCCTTAATTAAGGAATATAGCGTAAATCATCATATGAAGCCCTATATAGATAGATTAAGCCATATTCCTTAATTAAGGGGTATTGGGCTCTCTGGGTGGGTCCTTTATGACGTTTATGATAACAAACTGGTGTTCCACACTCTCGGAGACACACGCTTTGTTGAGTGACGGCGGTTGGCGAAAACCTCACGGTGCAGAAGGCGAGCCTAAACACCAAGCGTTAAACCTGATAGCCGCCCTTCTGGTAGGCCCTGGTAGGCCTTGTAGTAGCCCTTATCATAACCTTTCTAGCGCCCTGGAAGCAACACCTATGATATTATGTAATTTTACAAGCGCTTAATAGCCCTAAACCCTAAACCCAGCCCCCTAAGCGTCACGCCCTAAACTCCAAACCACAAGCCCCAAAATGCCAAAAGCCTCACACCACTTTCGCGGTTGTGGTGCCCTGTCTCAAAACCATGGCTTGGACCTTCCTTGCCCAAGGCGAGCGCATCTTTGGCTTTAGGGGCTTGGGGGTTTAGGGTTTAGCGTTTAGGGCTAGGGTTTAGGGTTCAGGGTGGTTTTACAGTTTGCGGGGTCGAGGGTTTATGGAGTTTAGAGGGTTTTTGCTTCAGGGTGTGGGATTCCACGATGAGCTCATACTTGTGGCCTCCTGTCCTATCCCTAATCCCTACACCCAAAGCACTGAGTAAGCTAGCCTAAATACTAAACCCTAGAGGCCGCAAAACATTGAGAGCTCAGATATAGCAACCCTGATAGTATCCCTAACAGTGGCCCTTCCAGTAACTTGTGCATCTCAGAGTGACCTTTGTAAGAACCCTGCAAGTGACCCTTATCTTTGCGCCCCAAAGCTCGACACCCACACCCAGAATTCGACCACCCTAAACCCTCAACCCCAACCCCAAACCCCAATCCCTAAACCCTAAACCCTAAATAACCTACCTTTTTAGGGACTTACATAAGGAATCATAATAAGGAACCTTGAAAAGGTAGGTTATTCAGGGTTAAGGTAAACCCTAAACCCTAAACCCCAAAACCCAAAACCCTAAACCCTAAACCCCTAAACCCCTAATCCCTAAACCCTAAACCCTAAACCCTAAACCCCAATCCCTAAACCCTAAACCCTAAACCCCCAAAACCCTTAAACCTCAAACCCCGCCATGCTCAGATGGAGCTGCCCTCCTCCTATAAGACGGTGCCCTTCTGTGAGGTTCCGCCGGAGTGCACGTAGCGTTTAGGCTTAGGGGCTTAGGTCTTAGGGTTTAGGGTTTAGGGTTTAGGGTTTCAGGTTTGGGGTTTGGGGTTCAGTGTGGAAGCTCATCGTAGGCAAGAGGGGGGCTTGGGGGTGAGGCTTGTAGCGAAGAAGGGGCTTAGCATGTAGGATTTTGGGGACGGACAAGGCTTTCAGGGTTTAGGTTTAAGAATTTTGTTGGGGAGAGGATTATAGGGTTTCGGGTTTTTAGGGAAAAGAGTTTTAGGGTTGGGTTTCAGGGAAGAGGGTTTTTGTTTTGAGAAAGGGGGGGGGGTTAAGGGTTTAGGTAAAGGGCTAAGGGTTGGCATGGTGAAGTCTAGTTTGTTTTTTGGGTTTGCGGTTCAGAGATCTATTTTTTGGACTCTGGTCCTACGTCCCGCAGAAAGCACACTTCCTGATCTCTTCTTAGCCCAAATTACCATCATAAATCAAAACTGACAAGGGTTTGAAGGAACTTATATAGCTTAAGGTCTGACTCTCTCTCTCTCGCTCTCTAGCTATATATATATATATACACACATACATATTCATACACACACACACACGTAAAATCGTTCACATCCATCCATCCATCCATCCATCCATCCATCCATACATCCATCCATCCATCCATCCATCCATCCATCCATCCATCCCTCCATGCATCCATACATCCATGCATCCATGCATGCATCCATGCATCCATGAATCCATGCATCCATGCATCCATGCATGCATGCATCCATGAATCCATGCATTTATGCATCCAGGCATCCAGGCATCCAGGCATCCATTCATCCATCCAGGCGTCGATCAGTCCATGAATCCATCCATGCATGCATGCATGCGCATGCATGCATGCATGCATGCATGGATGCATGGATGGATTCATGGACTGATCGACGCCTGGATGGATGAATGGATGCCTGGATGCCTGGATGCCTGGATGCATAAATGCATGGATTCATGGATGCATGCATGCATGCATGCCTGCTCCCATCCGTCCATGCACCCATGCGTCCATGCGCCCATGCATCCATGCGTCCATGCCTCCATGCATCCATGCATCCATGCATCCTTGCATCCATGCATCCATGCACCCATGCATCCATGCATCCATCCCTCCATCCGTCCATCCATCCTTCCATCCTTCCATCCTTCCATCCTTGCATCCTTCCATCCATCCATCCATGCATCCATCCATGACTTGTAAACCCTATGGGTTGACACGCAAGGTAAATGGGGCTTACACAGGGTTGCGGCTTGAGGGCTTTCGGGTTCCAGGGTTTTCGGTGCAACCCCTAAAGGAAACCTAAAGGAGCCTGTAACTACGACTTCTTGAAGCTTCGAATTCTGAGCCAAGTTTGTGGTTTAGGGTTTAGGATTGAGGGTTCAGGTTTTAGCGGTTAGGGTTCAGGATTGGGGAACTCCAAAGCATCAAAGCAGACACGGACATCGACTTGAACCCCGAAGCCTGCAGCCCGAAGGTGGCCACAGACATAAGTGAACGCAGCGGCTACAAGGCAGGGCCGGTTGATCCGAAAGTCTCGGTCCACGCTTCGTTTAGCCCCGAAGCTCAACCGTCACCCCCCTGAAGCCTAAACCCTCAACCCCCCCCCCGATTTCCCTAACAATTAGAATAGGGTTTTGGGGCCCGTTATACTATAAATATAATAAGGACCCCAAAATAGCATTGGTAGTTACTTACATTAGCATCGGTTTTGGGACTTCCAGCTGCTTGACTGGTAGGCCTCGAAATCCATCTTACACCCTGTAATTTCGAGTCTGACAAAGCACCAATCTAACTGTATGAAGGACCCTCTACCTATACCCCCCAACTGCCCTCTAATGTACCATAAATACCCACTATAAAGGGCCATAAGGGCTCCATTAAGGGGCACTTGGGGGTCCTGGTAGTAGCTTCGGCCCTGTCGTTCGTAGGAAACCAAACTGTGATTCCAGACAAGACCCTCGTTTTTTCTGATCCACTACTTGGAGGATCATGGGACTTAGTATCTAGGGTTATTATTCAGGTGACTGTACTTATAATTACTTCTAACCTCAATTAGGGTACTCATAGCTATACTTACTAAGTCCCATGATCTTCCAAGTACCTTTGAAGCATGAAGCTATAAATCCACAGATTTTTCAGGGTTAAGGGTTTGAACCCCCATAAATCCCCAAATCCCTGCATTCCTAGACCCTTACAGCCAAATCCTCGGCCTCCAAATCCCCTAAACCCCACACCTTAAAGCCCAAACCCTAAACCCTAAACCCCAAAAAAAAGCCCAAAATACTAAACCCGACGCTGCGAGGCCTTCCTCATCGGGCTAGCCGAGGAGGCCTTGTATCCCACAGACTCGACCGCTCCTTTGAAGCACTTGTGGGTTTAGCGTTTAATATAGGGGCTTCATAATTGCCTATACTAGTTTGGGGGTTCCTTATTATACTTATCGTATCATGGGCCCAAAACCATATTCTCATTATCAAGGTCCCTGTATTCGGGTTTGGGGTTTAGGGCTGGGCCCTAAACCCTAAACCCTAAACGCCCTGTCTTGGGTTAGGGGGTTTTGGGGTTTGTGGTGTAGGGATCATGGTCTGACGTATGTCAGAGTGGCAAATGGGAGTTTCCGAACTGGGGGGCCTTAAAAGAGTACCCTAAATAGTAGGATCCATATTCTAAGGACCCCAAAATAAGGTACCCTTAATTCTCGGAAACTCCCAAATGGAGTGGTCGTTGTTCGTGCCGTTTTCGCACCATGAGACCCACCTGCAACCACCTCTGCGGTGTTGGTAGTTGAGGGCTTGGGGCTTTTGGCTTAAGTTTTGGGTACCCAAACTTCCCCCTTAAAGGAACCCCTATAAATCCCTTAAAGGAACCCCTATAGATCCCTTAAAGGAACCTTTATGGATCCCTTAAAGGGACCCCAAATCCTTCATCGGTTTTAGACCTTGTAGGGGGGGGAGTTTGAGGTTCAGGCTTCTGCTTTGGACTCAGAAGTTCAAGGTTTTGGGGTTCTGGGCTCATAAACCTTGAACCCTAAACCGCTTGGGATCGGGAAAGAAAGCCCCTGTATTATAGTACCCGTTTATAGTATCCCTTAAAGGAATCCTTAGCGGAATCCTAAACCCTAAACCGCTTGGGATGGAATGTTTTCGATTGTGGCCTGCGCTTCCTCTTCGAAGATCCTCTCGGGTTTTCCCTGGTTTAGGGTTTAGGGGTTTAGGATTTCAGGGTTCAGGGGTTTAGGGGTTTAGGGGTTGATGGTTGAGGGGGTTAGGGTTTCAGGGCTCAAGGTTTAGGGTTAGCGGTTTAGGGGTTTAGAGGTTTGGGGTTCAGGGGTTTGAGGGTTTAGTGGTTAATGGTTCAGGGGTGTGGGGTTTAGGGGTTTATGCTGCGGCGGCCACGACCTTCATAAGAGCGCCGTGTAGCGGTTGGATCCCAATACCCCTCAATTAATGAATATACCTTAAACTGTAGGGGGGTTCATATTACGATTTAAGGTATATCTTAGAAGCTGCCCCCACCCTGTAATAGTGGTATAAGAGGAATATAATAGGGCCCTAATATAATCCTATATAATCCTTATGGTCACTATTACAGGGTGGGGCCCCTTCTACGGTATATCCCTCAATAAAGGGGTAGTGGGATCTCAGGGTTCACTGCCCGAGGAGTTCGTTCTCTTCCCGAACAAGTACTACCGCGTGGGCTTGCAGAAGGACAGAGACGTCAAGGCCGGCAGAAGACACGGTTTAGGGTTTAGCGTTTAGGGACTTTAGGGTTTAGGGTTTAGGGACTTTAGGGTTTAGGGTTTAGGCTTTAGTGTCTTGGATTTAGGGTTTAGGGACTTTAGGGTTTACATAGGGTTTAGGGTTTAGGGACTTTAAATCAGGGAACAGCGTCGCTGATCTAAGGTAGGCTAGGTTTTTTTTTTGCACGGCTTAGTGAAAACATGGCAGCAGGTGTTCCTAGGTCGGGGGGAATATGGTACACGAGAGAGCCTGTACGCCACTGCCCTCATCCTCCTGGAAATTACATTCCAAAGCCCAAACTCCCTGTTGAACCTCTAGCAGCACGAAGTCCCAAACCCTAAACTCCAAATCCCAAACCGTAAGACCCTAAGATCCTAAACTCCCAATCCCAAACCCTAAGACCCTAAGATCCTAAACTCCAAATCCCAAACCCTAAGACCCTAAGATCCTAAACTCCCAATCCCAAACCCTAAGACCCTAAGATCCTAAACTCCAAGTCCCAAACCCCAAGACCCTAAGATCCTAAACTCCCAATCCCAAACCCTAAGACCCTAAGATCCTAAGCTCCAAGTCCCAAATCCCTAAGATCCTAAGATCCTAAACTCCAAGTCCCAAATCCCTAAGACCCTAAGATCCTAACCTCCAAACCCCAAACCCTAAGACCCTAAGATCCTAAACTCCAAGTCCCAAATCCCTAAGATCCTAAGACCCTAAACCCCAAGTCCCAAACCCTAAGATCCTAACCTCCAAGCCCTAAGACCCTAAGATCCTAAATCCTCGGCCGCCTGGCAGGGACTCATCTTAGCCAGAGCCAAGGCTCGGACTCTGAGTTTCTTCTTGACTTATAGATCCCTTTAAGGGTTCCTTAAAGGGATCTATACTTGGAGGGGCAGGGGACTTAGTAAGCATGGTTATAAGTAGAGTTATAAGTACCCTAAATGGAGTTACCTCAATTATAACCCTACTTATAACCCTACTTACTAAGTCCCTTGCCCCTCCAAGTAAGGGTTCTATAAAAGGTGTAGGGGTTTAGAGTTTCCGAAAATTAGGGGTACCTTGTTTTGGGGTCCTTACGGTAAGGATCCTACTATTCAGGGTACTATATTAGGGTCACCTATTTTCGGAAACTCCCATATAGCGTTCGTAGGGTTTAGGGCTTAGGGCTTGGGATTTGGAGTTTAGGGTTTAGGGTTTGGGGTTGGGGGTGAGGGTTCAGGGCTCAGGGCTCAGGGTTTATGTGGGGTTTAGGGTTTAAGGTTTAGGGTTGGTATAAGGTTTCTTGATTAAAATGCGGCTTAACATGGAGTATAGGGTTTCATGGGTCTTCAGATGGGTTGGGGTCGGATCGAACTCTAAGCCCGGGGCCCCAAAGCCTAAACCCTGAATCCCAAACCCTAAGCCCTAAATCCTAACTGCTTGCTATGATGAGTCTCTTGAGCGACAAGAAGACGGAGATGAGCTCCCTGACAAATGAAATGTCATCGAGGACTTCGAGAAGAAGTCCGGGTCAATCGTGTCTGTCACGAATCCGTGCGCCATCCCGGAGTCGTTCTTCTAGGATCTGATGAAGAGCATGACCATGCTCGGGGCTGTAGCTTCGACCTTGAGTCAGTTCGATCAAAAGAAAAAAAATTTCGCGAGTACTACCTATGACAAGCTTCGCGTGTACTACCTATGACGGTGGATGCCTTTCCTCAAAGCTACTACAAATGTGGCAGTTTCACCATGTGCCTCAGTGCGAGGGGATTCGATGGGAGGGTCGGGTCTAACACATGTAAAAAAAACCCTAACTCCTAAACCCTTAGCCCTAAATCCTAACTTGAATTCTGCCAGAGACTCTGAAAGTCCTTACTCAGAGAACAGCCCTGATGATCTTCCAGAAGGAACCCTGGTGTGACGAAGGGTGTCGGGAGTTGAGGGGTTAGGGGTTTAGGAGTTGCGTGGTTTAGGGGTTGAGGGGCGTGGGGCTTTAGGTTTCAGGGCTTTAAGATTTAGGGCTTAAGGTTTAGGGTTTATGGTTTCAGGTTTGGGGCTTGGGCATCAGAACTGAAATCTCAAGCTCCAAACCCCACGCCTTTCATCTTGATTCCTGAACCTGGAACCCAGAAGGCCTTTAACCCTTCCACCCATAAGCCCTTAAGCCCACAACCTTAAGCCGCAAACGATCGCAAAGCCCAACTGAGACCTGCGTTACGCTGTTACGTACATTTGGGTATGTTCCATCTTTTAGGGTTTAGGGTTTAGAGGATGTAAGTTGAGGCTTCGGGACGTTCAGTTTAGCTTCGTGAGACTTGGGGTTATGTTTTTTGGGGGTGCTCCCTAACCAGCCATACCGTGCAGTTTGCGACGGCGGCTTGTGGCTTTGTGGTTTGCGTGGGATGGGAGGCTAAACCTAACCCCTAAACCCCTAAACCCCTGAACCCCTAAACCCCTGAACCCCTAAACCCCCTTAAACCCTAAACCCTGAACCCTTAAACCCCTAAGCCCTAAACCCTAAATCCTAAACCTTGAAAGCTTAAGCCCCGAAGCCAAAAGCCAAAGCCTCAAGCCCAGAAACCTAGGATGCCCAGTAGTACCCTTATTCCCTTTCTGTAGTCCTAGGTTCCTTATAAAGTTACCCAATACCAAAAAGAGAGGCCTTTTTATTCTTAACCCTAAACCCTAAAACCCTAAACCCTAAACCCCTAAACCCTAAACCCCCTCGTTACTGATACCCTTTTTATTCTTAGGTTACTGGGTATCCTAGCAAAGCCCGGAACCACAGCTTCGGGATTTGAGTCTTCAGGGCGAAGGCTGGTCCGGTTAAGGGTGCTATAGGGTTCCCTTTAAGGGTACTATGGAGTTCTATAATAGGGTCCCCGTTAAGGGTACTTTAGGGTCTATAATAGGGTCCCCTCAAAGGGTACTATGGAGTTCTATAACAGGGTCCCCTTGAAGGGTACTTTAGGGTCTATGATAGTGTCCCCTTTAAGGGTACTTTAGGGTCTATAATAGGGTCCTCTAGTTCATTACTGTACGCATTATAAGGAATATACCATGGTTCCCCTAGTTTAGAGTCCTTAGGGTCATGCAGAATTTTGTCCATCAGCAGTAGGGTCCCCTTTAGGCTTCTGCAGTCTAGGGGTTTCTCATGCGAGAGGCTTGGGGTTTCTCTTCGGGTTTAGTTTAGGGTTTAGAGTTTAGGGGTTTAAGGGTTTAGGGTTTAGGGTCTAGGGTTTAGGGTACCCTAAGCCCTAAACCCACCCTCAACGACAGAGGAGGATGTGAAGATGGCTCTGCCCGGACGTGCCATCCGCTGGTCGCCGGACCAATGGGTGAGCAACACTGCGCAGGCCGGTTCGGGAGAGTATCCTTAAAGCGGATACTAGGATCTCCATGGGCTCCCTTTTAGGGTTCCCTTAGAGGGGATACTAGGATCTCCATGGGCTCCCTTTAAGGGTCTTACAGTACTCAGTAGTAGGGTTCCTTTTGAAGGGTACCATGGGGTTGAGAGCGGGATCTGTAAATAACAGGGCTCCTTTGAGGGAGGACTCTTCAGGGGACTTCGGGTTCGTGGTTCGGCGAGATTCGAACCCTCCGGAGCCAAGAACTATACCTTGCATCAACTGTGGCGCTCTAAAGCATTGGAGCCCTAAGCCCTAAAAGCTGAACTTAAACCCTAAACCCTAAGCCCTAAACACCAGGGCAGGTCACAGACCTCGTTCATGCGGGAGAAAGGCCACTGCATCTTAAAAAAAACCACCAAGCCCTAAAGCCCAAGCCCTAAAGGCCTAAAACCCAAAACCCAAACCTTGAACCCTAAACCCCTAAACCCTATAGAACCCCTTAAAGGAACCCTATAGAGCCCTTAAAGGAACCTTAAGCCTCAAACCCTGCCTCCCCAAGCCCAAAGCCCTATCAGCCTTAAGCCCGAAAGCCCTAACCTTAAACCCCGAACCCCACAGATCCTTTTGAAGGATCCCTTATATATCCCTTTAAAGGACCTCTTCTAGATCCCTTTAAAGGAGCCTTAAGCCCGAAAGCCCCCCCAGAGCCGGAGCCCTTGTACAGCCACGCCCTAAACCCCCACTTGGAGGATCATGGGACTTAGTAAGTAAGGGTTCTTAGAAAGGCTCCTTATTGGGATCTTTAGGGTTCCTTAAAGAGATCTATGGGTTTGGGGTTTAGGGTCTACTTCGAGGATCATGGGACTTAGTAAGTATGGTTATAAGTACCTTTATTGGGGTTATAAGTCATTATAAGTATAGTTACCATACTACTAACCATAGTTACTAAGTCCCATGATCCTTGAAGTAGACCCTAAATCCCCCTTATAGAACCCTTATAGACCCCTTTAAAGGAACCCCACCATAGTTACTAAGTCCCATGATCCTGCAAGCAGCCGTACACCCTCAACTGTTTAGGGCGTCGGGCTTAGTGTTCAGGGCTTGGGGCTTCAGGGCTTAGGGTTTAGGGCTTAGGGCTTGGGGCTTTAGGGCTTAGGATTTAGGGCTTAGGGTTCAGGGCTTAGGGTTTAGGGCTTAGGGCTTGGGGCTTTAGGGCTTAGGATTTAGGGCTTAGGGCTCAGGGCTTAGGGTTTAGGGCTTAGGGTCTAGGGCTTAGGGTTTAGCCTTAGCCTTCACAGCGACTCCCAAACCCCCTAATTCAGGAATATTGCGTTACATTATATAGGAGCCATAGGGATGTATTCCTTAATTAAGGGGTATATACCTTAAAAAATATTGGGAACATTAGTAAGATTTAGAGTCTCTGGGTTCCACCCGTCCAGCCACAACCTGCAGGGCCAAGGGTCTCGAGGGTTTCGAGATTTGCACGTCAGGATTTATTCAGATACCCTACTTGGAGGGGCAGGGGACTTAGTAAGTAATCTTGTTATAAGTAGGGTTATAATTGGGGTAACTCCATCTAGGGTACGTATAACTCTACTTATAACGTACCTACTAAGTCCTCTGCCCCTCCGAGTAAACCCTAAACCCCGAGCCGTGAAGGCTTTGTGCCTGAGGATTTACTTGCCTTTGGTTAGTAGGGAATGGAAGAATGATAGAAATAGTAGTTGTAATTGTAGCCCATTCCTCCATTCCCTACTAACCCAAGGTAAGTTTAGGATGAAGGGTTTAAGGTCGCGGGCTTTGAGATTTATGTTTCGGGGGCTTTGTGGTCTAGGATTTGGGTTTCAGGTTTTAGGGTTGTGGTTTAGGGATTACAGTGGAAGCCTTGTGGCTTAGCTGTTGGGGCGGGGTGGAACTTCTATTGTGTATATGCTGTATAGGCGTAACTATGTAAATTAACTGAGCTACCTGTTTTCCGGCACTGCAAAGGGGCGGGGCTTTTCGGTGCACCCTTCCTTCATGTGGTGTTTGGCGCTTGGCGTCTGCAGTTTGTGGTGCTGGCTTTTCAGTTCTTGGGTCAGGTTTAGGGTGTAGGGCTTATGACCTTCCACACCGGCCCAGGTGCAGGTGAATCCTCATCTCTCCTCCCTCAAAGCAGCCGCTTGCCTGATTTGCCCTGCTTGCATCATCGTACGTCCCTTCTTGTAGGAACATATCGTTTCGGCTCGAAACCCTAAACCCTAAACCGAAGAGTTTGCGGTTCACTAAACTCAAAGGGTAAAAGGAGGGACCCCTAATAAGGACCCCTAGGTATATACCCATAATATAGCCATTATATACCCATTGTATAGCCCATTATAGTGTAGGGGTCCCCATTAAGGGTCCCTCCTTTTCCCTTTTGATAAACCCTAAATCATCAGGCCGAAACCCTATGGTTGACGGTATCTCGAATGAGCCCTGGTGATCGTTGTGCCTTCTCGACCTTACCAGGACCGCAGACATCCGTGGGACTTGGTAAGCCATAACCTCCTACAAGTTTCAGGCCCCTCTAGCACTTAAACCCTAAACCGTAAACCCAAAAACCCTAAACCCCAAGCCCTAAAACCCTAAACCCTGCAGTTCCCTTTAAAAGACCCCTTATTTAGATCCCTTGCGAAATCCCGTAAAACCCTAAAACTCTCTTCCTGAAGGGTTGAAGGGAAGTCAGCAGTCGCTAACAGAACCCGCGCAATGCAGCAGACTTCGGTGCCCACAGTACCTACCCAGTGGGGCTTTGGTACATAGGGCTTAGGAGTTGAGGAGTTTAAGGTTTACGGGTTTAGGGGTTTAGGGTTTAGGAGTTAGGGTTTAGGAGTTTAGGGTTAGGAGTTTAGAGTTTAGCATTTAGGGTTTCGGGTTTCGGGTTTAGGAGTTCGGGGCTTCGGGTTGGGGCCTGAGTAGAAGCCAGGAACAAACAAAGTTACAAGCATCGGGTTCTGCAATAGAATACCCCCCCCCCCCCCAGTACCTCACTGACACCCCCAAAACCCGGAACAAGCTGGAAAAGGGCCTTTTTTCCCTACCTAAAACCGAACCCCTTCACCAGGGGGTTGAGCCCTACACCGGCCCACCTTGAGCCTTGAAGCCCAGGAGGCCAAAAGGGGTTTCAGCTTATGGGGGTTTGGTAGGGATTAGGGTTCCCATAATAGGGTTCATATTTAGGAATAACTGCCCCTAAACCCTAAGCCCTAAACCCTAAACCCTAAGCCCTAAACCTTAAACCCTAACCTAGAGTCCTAAGCCCTAAACCCCTAGGCCCTAAACCCTAAACCCTAAGCCCTAAACCCTAAACCCTAAACGCTAGAGTCCCTAGAGCCCTGAAGCCCAGGAGAAGGACAAGGAAGGATGGGTCCGAGATCACTTCATCGAGGAGCAGTCGAAGCGCTTTGGCTTCAGCAGGGGTTGAGGGTTTCGTGGTTGAGGGTTTAAGGGTTTAGGCGTTTAGGGTTGGGGGTTTAGGGGTTCAGGGTTGTTAAGGGGGTTGAGGGTTTAAGGGTTTAGGGGTTTAGGGTTTAAGCGTTTAGGGGTGAGGGAATTTAGGGGGTTTAGGGGTTAAGGTTTAGGTGTCTAGGGGTTCAGAGTTGAAGGTTTCTAAGCTGTTCGGGTAGGAGCTTGATATTAATATTAATGTTTCCAGACCCAAACCTCAAAGCCCCAAGCCCTAAATAATCCTCACAGCGCCACTGTGCACACTGACTAGCTTTAGAAGGAACTACGACACGGATCCTCATATTAAGGATATTCAAGAAAGGGAGCCGTAAACCTTGAGCGTAGACTCTTAGAGTTTGAGCGCAGGGTCCCTTTAAATACCATATTAGGGTTGATAGGAAGAACCTACGGAATGTAGGGTTGGGGTAGGTCAAGGTGTACTGAATCCACCCGCGAATTACATTAAACAGGGTTCCTACGGTAATTCTAAGGTGCCTACGGCAATTCGAGGAGTATTCCTTCATGTTTTGGAGTCTCTGGGAATTTTCGCAGGTTACACCCTGCACCCTACTTTGTGAACTCGACTCGTCGAACCCTACAGCCTACGGTCAAAGGTTTATTTAGGGCTTAGCTCCGAAGCCCACTGAAATCGACCCAAGTGAAGGGACCTGAAAAATTAGAAGGGTGAATGGGGGTTCAATATAGTGCAGTTAAATAGGGACTACAAGGGGCTGATATCATTAGTCATTCCGACCCATTTATTTCCCAGGCAGGAGTACCTCACGGAGAAGTTGGTCCACACTGCGAAGCGGCGCGCGGCCATGGGCCCTTGGCTCAGAATTTTGGATGCTCGCCCAGAGGCTGCGCCTTAAACCCTAAATCTTAAACCCTGTTTGGAGCTTGGGTTTCGGCAAAAAGCCGAAACCCTCGACGTCTATATCCTCAGCACTAAATCTCTTGGGTTTCGGGCACATGTCTTGTGTGGGAGGTGTTCGCTTAGGTCTTCATGTTCGCCTTCAGATCCTGCATAAAACGTGGGCCCGGGGAAACCTTCAACTTACGAGCGTTTAGGGTTGGGCTTGGTAAATACTTCGTGAGATGCCCTCACAGTCCCTGCATGACAAGACATGGCAAGTCACAAAACCCGATTCTAATTGTCAAAGCTCCGTTCAGGGCGACGTAGTAGTTGTAGTAGGAACACTTCGTGTTGCACATGCCGACCTTGGTCTAATGTAGGGGCCGAAATAATTACCAGTACTACGTTGGGGGTTGCTTATACTAAATTACAGCATTATACATTTTTGGTAATGGGTCCCAAATCCCTATTCTACATCATTGAGGCTCCTATATTACCGTGTTTTGAGGCCTCATCCATGGGGCGAAGATGAGTCGGGTGCACGTGGAAGCCTATCTCGAGGACGGTTTTCTCCTCCAATCTGTCTCAGTCTTTTGGACTCCGGGTTTATTACGGTTGGGGGTTTAATACGGTTGATGATATACATCCGGCATTGCCCATATTAAGGAACATACCACAAGTCCCATAGTCTAGGGTTTTGAAGGTAATTCAGGATTTATATCATCAACCGTAGGAATTCGGCGCATTATCTATGTATCTACCTGATCTTTCTATCCATTTACCTATCTATTTATCTATCTCTCTTTGCTATCTTTGCTATCTATGCTGCCTATGCCTTCTATGCTGTTTATGCTGCCCGTCTATACACTTACCTATCTATCTGCCTATCTATCTATCTATCTATCTGTCTGTCTACCTACATGCTACACGGATTTACGCATGTTCATCTGTGAATGTGCATATGCCTTAAGCCTGAAATCATAGTCCCCAAAACCTGAACCCTAAACCCTAAATCCTAAACCTACCATGAGGCCTAAACCTTGCATCCTCAGCACCAAAGCCTCAAGGCTATGAAGGGTCAGGGTCTTTGGTCTAAGCCCCTGAAGCTGTTGAGGGTGTAGGGTTTAGGGTATAGGGTTTAGGGCCAGAACCCCGCAACCGACCCTAAACCGTTAACAACAGCCCGGACAAGGGCACTTGCACCGCATCCAAGCGGAGGACACCGACGACGACCTCTTCGACATGAACGATGCCCTCGAGGATCGTGCCGGGAAGAGCTCCTATAATGTAGGGGCCTTAATATTTAGAATTGGGTTTTGGGGCCCCAACTAGTATAGGTAATTATTCAGGCCCCTATAGTATGGAGGGAAGTAAGGAATGTTTGATGTGATAGGCTTCCGTGGATATTGTAGCCCCTGTCTAATTCATAATGCAACATGTACACCAATATCCGCTGAAGATCTCATCAAGATTATCGTCCCTACACGGTGCTATTATATTATACAAAAAATGTTCTCATAATTCGATCCCCTGCACTACTGCTTCTGCTGAAGGTGGGCTTCGCATGTGGTGGTCGGCTGTTGTGTAGGATTTATGAGGCACTGCCAGGTTCATGAGTTCGGGTTTAGTTTAGGATTTAGGAGTTCCGTTTAGTTAGGTTTTAGGGTTAAAGTAAAAGCCAGAAAGTTGGAATATGATTATCCTAAACCCTTTATGGTAGATTATAAGGTATCCTACCCTAAAACCATATTCCAACTTTCTGGAGTTCCCTTTAGCGTCGTAGGTTTTAGGGCTGAGGGCTCAGGGTTTCAGGGTTTGGTGTCTTAGGGTTTTAGAGTTTGGGGCTCGGGTTTAGGGTTTAGGGTTTAGGGTTTAGGGGGCCTGGGGATTCTGAGGAAGGTTTGGAGGTTGCTTGGGCTTCGGTTCAACAGTCAAAGGGGAAAAGGAGGGACCCTTAATCGGGACCCTTACCCTATAATGGGCTGTATAATGGCTACACAATAGCTATATTAAGGATATATACCTAGGGGTCCTTATTGAGGGTCCCTCCTTTTACCCTTGGATACAAGTTCAGGGTTCGCAGAAGCTCCGAGGCTCTGCGGCTGCGAGGACATATGCAAAAGACCCGTTTAAGGGTTGAGGGCCGTTTAGGGTTTAGGGGCGGTTTAGGCTTTAGGGTTTAGGGGCAAAAGACCCCTGGAGCTCATCAGCCAAAGTTATAGGGACAAGTAGGAGGAGAGTGCTCTACACCGTAGTAGGCCTGTAGGCATTGAGACTTGTAGCTGCGAGGGAGTTGTAAGGGTTTACAGTTGACAAGGATTTTACTGGGTTTTAGGAGATGGAGAGGGGAGGGTCAGGCACGTAATCCTCAGTGCTGCAGCGCAACATCACGTCAAGCTTAAATCCCAAACCCTACTACCCTAAACCCCAAGTCCTTCAACCCAAGACGACCGCAAGTTACAAAAAGCCCAAAGCCCTTGACCCCCTTTCGAAGATGCCACCTTGAAACCGTATAAAACTCTGGAAAGACTTTGTATACATGGCTATGAATGCCCCTGTGCATGCCTGTCAAACAAACCTCGAAAACCCTTTGGGAAACCTTCTGAAGTCTTATAGCAGAAATCCGCTTCAAAGCTCTCTTAAACCCTAAACCGTAAACTGTAAATCTCTAAACCTGAAACCGTAGAACCATAAACCCTAAACCCTTGATAAGCCCTGCAATTTATCCACCATGACGCTTCGCAGGATGTCATGGAAGATCCCACCTCGGACGTTATGAAGGACCCTGGGGTTTCAGTTTTTGGGGTTAAGGTTTAGGGTTTAGGGTTTTCAGGAATCCGATATCTCGGAGTTGTGTGGGTTCTAGGAGAGGTTGTAAGGTAAAAGCCAGAAAGTTGGAATATGATTATCCTAACCCTTCTATGGTAAATTATAGGGTATCCTACCATGAAACCATATTCCAACTTTCTGGAGTTCCCTGTATTTGGGTGCTTGTATTTAGGGTGGGGTTGGCTCTATCTTTGGTTCTGAAAGGCTTTTTCAGAGGGGCATTTAAAGGCTCCCTGAACCCTAAACTGTGAAATCCTGAATTACCAGGGTCTAGGGCGCAGGGTTTTAAGGTTAAGGGGTTTAGGGGTTCATGGTTTAGGGTTTAGGGTTTAGGGGTTTAGGGTTCAGGGTTTAGGGGTTTATGGTTGAGGGGTTTCTGATGGACTCGAACGGCGCAAGTAGCCCAACAGTAGGGTTTCAGGCTTCGTATCCTGGGCATGTTATGGTTTCTATACATTGAGAATTGAGAGTTATCAGGATTTGCTGTGGAGGATGAAGTGTGCAAGTGCCAAAATACGTAGCCCGGTTGTAGGTACCCAATTCGGAATGGAGTATTTGGGACATGAGGCCGTGGCTACTTGGAGTGTGCATGGATGGAGCTGGATTGGGTTCTGGACTTAGAGTTTAAGGGTTTCATGGCAGTTTGTGTGCAGGTTTATGTGTATCTTTTGGTGCAGGTTTGAGGGTTTATTGTCTTGCGCAGGGAAAGCTTGGTGTCGATTGGATTAAGGTCGGGATCGCGGTGAAGGTCGGGACCGCGCTGAATCATTCAGTCTCGCTTCCCCAACAATCCAAGTGCAAAAGATTTTGGCACCAGCGCAAGCAAAAGGAGCTGAACAGGCCAGGGATTGCTAGGAACAAGTGTTCACTTCAAGTCGTCTGGAGGGCCTGTTGGCCCTAAATACCCAACCTGGAAAGCTTAAATCTAAAGCTCAGGCTGTGCACGGCTGCACGGTATCATGTCTGCTTTGCAAGCCAAAGCCCAGGCCCAACTTCTCAATCAACCAGATACAGTGTCATACTGTTGATGGACAAAATCCTGCATGACCCTTAGGACTCTAAACTAGGGGAACTATGGTATATTCCTTATAATGGGTAATGCAGGATTTTGTCCATCAGCAGTACCTTTCCTCCGTACGCTATGTGCGATTGGAATCATGGCTTTCTGGCTTTCTCAGTTTGGAGTTTAGGGTTTAGGGTTTAGGGTTTAGGCTCCCAGACTCGTCGTAGAAAGGATCCTATCACTTGAAGCGCGTACGAGGATCGAGCCGAAACCCTCAACCCTAAACTCCAAACCCTAACGCCTAGACCCTAAACCCAAACCCTATACCCCTATAACTCAAACTTCCTAAACCCTACACCCTAAACTCCAAACCCGAATGCCTAATTGGTAAAACGAGTGTGGTGGGGTTTTCGGGTTTAGGGTTGAGAGTATTAGGGCCTAGGGTTAGGCTTCGGGTTTCCGTGGGCGAATGAGAGGTATTAGATATGATATCCCCGCATCGTCCCTCTGAAAGCATCATACCCCAGGACCCTTTCAGAACTACTACTGTTGATGCGTAATAAGGAATATACCATAATTCCCATAGCTTAGGATCCTTAAGGTAATGCAGGATTGATATCATCAACCGTAGTACCCCTGTTATACACTCCCAATTGTGAGGATCCCTTTGAGCGCGCTCTGCTAGAGCGGCGGATGAAGTCGAAGCAGCAGATCCTCGCAGAGAAGGCTGCTTTGGTTTCGGATTACAGAACTAGGTTCCCTAAAAAGGGGTAGGGTATATGAGGATATAAGTAGTTCCAAGTTTTAGTCCCCTCGACTTCAGGGCGGGTTTGAGGGGTTTCGGAAGTGTATTCTTGGATTGTCCAGGAGGCATCTGGGGTTATGCAGAGGTCTCGTATTTATATGTCTCCCGAAACAGGCTTGCGTACATGTATGCGTATATGCATGCATAAGTATCCCTGCACTGGAAACCTTCTATACATACATATATATATATATACACACTCATATGTACAACCCGGCCCTCTCAATCCTCTCGGCTCTCGGTACTCCAGATCGAGTCTGCTGTGTTTGACAGGTCCGGCTCGAATCCTCGAGCGTTGAACAAGGTTCCGCAATAGTACCTTTTGCCCTTTAGCTTGTGGCTCCGGTTACACAAATAGTAGGCTAACCAAGAATATACAACCCGGTAAACCATTACTAACGTAAATATGGCCCTGGGGTTAATCAAACTAGATAGTTAGGAAACGCGGAACCCTCAATATTAGAGAGCTGCTGGGGAACCGGATTTATAGATAGTTAGGAAGCGCGGAACCCTCGATATTAGAGAGCTGCTGGGGAACCTGGCTTATCAAAGCATGAAGGACAATCCCTGAAGCCATGTAGGAACCGCAGTACGAATAAAGGTACAGTCCCCACTTGAGGGTTCTTGGAGTCTATGGGTTGGGCACTGGCCCAAGTCAGCAACAGCTGAATATGACTTACATATATATATATATATATATATATATAGTAAAGATAGTATATGAGGCCCTCAGTAGTAGCCCTCTAATGGACTGTTGTTGTATGGGAGCATTACCCACCCTAGAGCCCGCAGATGAGGGACGAAAGTTAAGTGCGCTGTGTAGATGCTTTTGAAAGCTGCAAGCGCTCATTAAAACAAAATTCTAACGCCCTTCCACAAAGGAATGTCCATAGATTAGTTTTGTAGAGTAGAACCTCTAATTTGATTCAGCGTATCAACATATGACTCCCTCGAACCAGGGTCTCTCTATACGATACTGTATCCCGCAAAGAGTGACTTCTTCCTACGTGAGAACCTCATTTACAGAGCCCCCCTGTGTTCAACCCCAAAAACCCAATCGCCTTCTGAACCCTAAACCGTAAGCCTTAAACCTCAAACCCTGCACCTTAAATAAACGGTTTAGGGTTTAGGGTTTAGGGTCATAAACCCTGAAGCCCAAATCTACAGAGGAGAAGCTGGACACTGAAGCAGCCGACGACGTCCTCTACGGCGAGAAGCTTTTCCAATTCCGGGAGGAGGGCTTTGAGGGTCCTAAACCCTTAACTGGGGTACTGACCCCACACAGTAACCGTTGAATAATAGTCATAGTCATAGTACAGATATGATATATTAGGACCTTACTAGTAGCCCTATTATAGACTGTTACTGTATGGGGGCAGTACCCAACCCTAAACCCTAAAGCCTAAACCCCGGGGCCCCGTTTAAACCCGAAGCCTAGATTAGGGTTTTCATAAATTTAGGGTTTTCATACAGTTGGGCAACCCTTGTGCCTTTTTGCTGTTGCTGTTGGGCCGGGGGTTCTTATGATGAGCACCCCACTCATTGAATTCTCTATGTAAGTATGTGTATATGCACACATGCGCATATGTCCGTCTCTCGCTCTCCATGCTTCTAGGCATGTATAGGTGGATTGAGGGCGCCGCTTTTTCCGAAGGTTTGTTTTCCATCGCAGACTTCTAGGGGATGGCTGAGCCCTACACCCTAAGCCCCAAATAGCAGGGGATCGTCCGGGGTTTATCTTTCAGGAGAGCTTCGAGCATTACGGACCCTAAGGTTTCGGGAAAGCTGCGTCACCTTGCCCTTGGAGTACTGTTATCTTAAAAGGGCTAGGGTTTAGTTTTTTATCTTAAAGGGCTAGGGTTTAATGTTTTAGAAACCTTAAGCCCTGAAGGTTGTTATCGTTGCCACTATTCGCGACCGACTATGCTCTCCATCTTACCTGTCTATCTATCAGTCTACCTGCCTATAGCTACCTGCCTTCCTACCAATCGCTCTGTCTCTTTATCGATTGTGGCGGTGGCGCATTAGTTGTCTATCGGTTCGTCCAGTCGGTTGGTTAGGCGAGTTACAGTTGATGATATAAATCCTGCATTTCCCATAATAAGGAATATACCATAATTCCCATAGTTTAGGGTCCTTAAGGTAATGCAGGATTTGTATCATCAACCCTAAGCCCTAAACCCTACAGATCCCTTAAAGGAAGCCCCTGAAGGTACCCCTACAGATCCCTTTAAAGGAACCCTAGGGATTTGTATCTTCAGCAGTAGTTCGTTGCTCAAGCAGATTGCTGGTTCGTCGGTTCGTTCGTTCGCTCGGTCGGTCCGTCATTCGTGAGAGCAGATTCTACATGCCTTGGGGTTTAGGGGGTTTAGGGGTTTAGGGGTTTAGGGGTTTAGGGGTTTAGGGGGTTTAGGGGTTTAGGGGTTTAGGGGGTTTAGGGGTTTAGGGGTTTAGAGGTTTAGGGGTTGATCTAGTCCGTGGCGAAGAATATGCTCATCGTCGCTATTCAGCTGCTCGCCTGCGTGCCAAATGGTTTGCTTATGCCCCAGCTCAGGAACGAAAGCATTCGGTTGGGCTTGCAGCAAATCCACCTTGCCGATGAGGTTGGCTGGGGAATTGGAGGGTTTACTGTTTAGGGTTTAGGGTGACTGAGCCAGACCCCCAGACCGAAACCCTCGACAAGCACCAAACCTTCAAACTTGCTGTGGTCTTTCGTGTAAGGTAGCATTCTCAGGTTTCGTGTGCCTCGGTTCGCACGTTCTGGTGTCAGTTTTATGAGCTTCAGAAGTTCGATGCAACTTCTGAAGGATGCCTCACGCCTAGGGCCTAGGCCTAGAACGGACGCCCTAAGAATGCTACTTTCCCAGACGGGCCAAACCCTAAGAGGAACCCCCGCTGCTGAGTCTGCAGGCTGAAGTGAAGCTGCGGACTCCGGACCCCATTGTCCTTCGCGAGGATGAGGCATCGCCACGGATGAGGGAAGAGTAGTACGAATGGCTAGCTGTGAAAATTATGGCCCCTCTTTGGGTACCCTAAATAGTAGGTGCCTTGTTATAATAAGGACCCAAGAAGGGACCATAATTTGGACAACCACCCGAATCTTACAGACCACACTGGTAGATCAGGGGCCTCAAAACCTGGGATGAATGTAGGTGGGTTTAGGGAGGACCCCTTTATATGACTTCTATGCGTGCTGAACCTTCAACCCTGAGCCCACATAGGTGTTCAAGAACCTTCAGAGTAATCTTTGGTGCTGATAGCAGACTGGATGGTCGAGCAAAGCCGCCCCGAAATGAACCAGCACAACGTCCCCAGTGCCTACAGTCCACAGGCTACTCAAGCTTCGAACACCAGCGCCCAAACCCAAATGTCCTCAACCGTGATCCCTGAGACCACTCCCCTCACTCAAGCAAAACGGCCGAATATCGACCCCTGATGACAAAGCAGCCTTCTCTGCTAATCAGAATTTCATTAGGGATCTGTATGCTAGGGCCTTGAAAGCAAGGGGGTTCATGTATCACGGGTCTGGATTAAGATCCTGACCCCAATATTAGGCTGTCGAAGAAACTGTTACCAGGGGTCTACATGACTGTAGGCTACTAGAATACGAGATAAGATACTGCAGTAAACCACAGAACTTCATAGTATGCGATCATTTACTATGATACAGTAGAACTCAAAAAGTTGGAAACCCAATGGCCTCAACCCTGAAGAGTAATGTATAGGGCCTAGAGAACCCCAGCTCTGTTTTGCCTGAATCCGGTTTCCAACTTTACGGGGGTTACTGTATATATTATATACTTAGAGTGTTCCTGGTTTCCAACTTTAGATCAAAATAGCCGAGCTCGAAGCCAAACAGGTCCTCTGGGGGTCGGCGGTGCAGCCGGCTGAGAAGATCTGGGCCAATGCAAAGGCTGATGTAGGGTTTAGGGTCTGGGGTTTGGGGTTGAGGCTTTAGGCTTTGCTTCTTAGAGTTCGTTACTATGGTTTCTAACAGTTCGTTAAAAATGTACATGGGTCTTTTCGGCTACATGTGGGTTTGAGGATTGTCGCGGTCAGGGTTTAGGGTCAAGGGTTCAAGGCTTAAGGTTTCCAAGGGGCAATGATAGGGGTAAGTAGAAGGGTACGGGCGCGCCAGGCGCCACGTGATAAGCTCCAAACCTCCTAAATCCTAAACCTTACACCCTAAGCCCCAAACCTCCGAGATCCTAAACCTTACACCCTAAGCCCCAATCCTCCGAGATCCTAAACCTTACACCCTAAGCCCCAAACCTCCGAAATCCTAAGTTTTACACCCTAAACCTTAGAGTTAGACCCTAAACGCTTCAACCAAGGCTGAAGCAGAAGCCTACGTCTCAGCTTGAGGGCCCAAGCCCGATCTGCCAGAGCCAAATTCGATGTAGGGTTCGGGGTTACCTGGACCCTAAGGAACCTGCCTTTTTAGGGTTCTTTAATATGATTTCTTTATATAAGTCATTAAAAAGTAGGCTACGTGGGTTAAGGTAGTACTAAAAAGGATCATGGGACGTAGTAACTAGGGTTCTTATTGGGGTAACTATACCTAGAATTACTTATAACCCCCAATTAAGGGACTTATGACCATACTTACTATGTCCCATGATCCTCGAAGTAGGGTTTAGGGTTGAGGGTTCAGGGTTAGGGTTGAGGGTTTAGGTTCGGGATTCCTAAGCTCTACCTCTACACCCAGCTGCGACATCATACGCACGACCATGATCTCGCTCCCATCGCAGTGTTGAGGATTGAGAGCTAGGGAAGACAAGAGGCCACACTCTAGACCTTGAGTAGTGGGATCCTTAAGACATGCATGGAGCCCCCAAAGGGAGCTCTTCATACGTAGTGAGACTACCCTCTCAAGCCGCCTAAAGCCTCGCAAACCGTAAGGATTCTTCTACCATCCTACAACTGTCACATAGGGGCTTTAACAAAGGGGTCTTTTAAAAGGGTTCCGTTTAAAGGGTTCCATCAGGGTAATTATAGGAGGTTAGCATACCCTAAACCCTGAATCCTAAATCCTGAATCGCACAGTGTAGTAGAGGAGCCTTATTTTAGGGTTTAGTCTTCCCTAGGCTCTAGTATAGTAGAGGAGCCTTGTTATCGGACGAGGAGCCGCCAGAAGAGGTCCTGGTTCGTGGCGAGCACGTCCTTGTGCTGCTTACCTTGCATAAACATGACCCTTTCTAAGCAGAGTTCTAGGTGCCTTCATTGGGGCTGTATGTAATTATAACAAGTACAGTTACTCTAGCGATGACCCCAAGTCACTTAGTCTCATGATCCTCCAAGTACCCTAAACCCTAAACCCTCATAGTACCCCTAGAGATCCCTATAAAGGGATCCTAAACCCTTGAGCCCGGGTCGCTCCGGGTTGCTCGACACATTGTCTACGTGCGGCGGTTTCAGGGTTCTTCAAGGGCTCCTTTCAGGGTTCCGTGCGGGGCTCCTTGAACTATCAGGGCGAAGAGCTTACTATAAGGGTTACCAGAGGGTGTAATATGGGGGCGTTACCAATTTGAATGGGGCTTCGATGGTATGTTTCTACTACAAACAGTCGAAGGAACCCTCCTGCAGCACAGTTTCCTTTCTTTCTCAGCCTTCTATATTCCGCCTAAGCCATCAACCCTAACGCCTTTTTAAAGGAACCTCTATAGGAAGCCTCACAGTTCCCCATAAACCCCTGAAGACCCTCCAAGCGAGTCTAAAGCTCTAAATCCGAAGCTACCGCGCCCTGAGTGCTCATGTTCGAGTCGTCAAGGATTCTGGGAGAAGGGGGTAAGGGTAGAGATGGATTTAAATGGCAAACTACGGTTGATGATATAAATAAATAAATAAATATATATATATATATATCCTGCATTAGCCACAATAGGAGATTAACTTTAATTCCCTGAGTTTAGGGTCCTTACGGTAATGCAGGGTTTATATCATCAACGGTAGAAGGGTCAGGCTCCTATATTACGTTTCGGGCCGTTTGGTCCCGCCAGTGTTTAGTCATAAGGGCCTTTAGGGGGTCGGGGGGAGGGGTTTAAGGGACCTCAATACCTATAATAAGGACTTAATGGGGCCTATCCAAGGAAGTATAGTTCCCTACCCCCCCCCTCCCCCCTACCGGCTAAGGGTCCCTAGGATCAGGATTCAGGAGAATCTAGCTCGCAGGGTCCGGGTTTGGGGTTCAGTGGAAGGAGTGCGTCTGGAAATCTACCTGGAAACCAGATTGAGCTACCGTCAAACCTAAACCAACCCTAAACCCTAAGCCCTGTCCTATCAGGGAGAGACATGCAGACTTTTCTTGGGATTATCGAGCTTCTACAGCCCAAACAACCCGGACCTCCAGTCCTAAACCTTTCTTAGCTATATCAATGGAACCCACCTAAGCCCCAACGAAGCCTGAATCCCAGAACTCCAAGGACAAAACTTTAGCCCTAAGCTCAAGATCTTTACAACCTCTTTCAGCGCCCTAAGTCCTAGACCCCTCTGGAGCTGAGGGGACTTAGTAAGTAGGCTATAAGTAGAGTTAAAAGTTCCCTAAATGGAGTTTCCCCAATAATAACCCACTCATAACCTACTTACTAATCCCCTGCCCCTCCAATTAGGGTTTAGGGCTTAAGGCTGAAACCTCTGAGCAGCAAGAACTTGAGGTTGAGCCTCGAAAGCGACTTACCCGAGGATGCAGCGAACGATGAGGAGGTGCTTCGGTTGATGATATAAATCCTGCATTACCTTAAAAGCCCTAAACTATGGGAATTATGGTATATTCCTCATTATGGGTAATTCAGGATTTATATCATCAACCGTTTCTGGGGTTCGCGGTTTAGGGCTTTAGGGGTTTCCTATCTTTTAACCACTTTATTCCGGGGCCCCTGTAAGAAGGATCCTTCTGTTTAGGGATCTGCTTCTTGTTCTCAGGGGTGCCTTACTCAGGGTCGGGTCTATACTTCGATCAGTTGATGCGTCAAGTATACTTGGAGGATCATGGGACTTAGTAAGTATGGTTATAAGTCCCTTAATTGCGGTTATAGGTAATTATAAGTATAGCTACTCCAAAAATAACCCTAGTTACTAAGTCCCATGATCCTGTAAGTATGGTGCCAAGAGATTCGAAACCGGTTCCGTTCCCATGGTTCAGTCAAGTACCAGTGCCAATAGGCGTAAACCTGTACTGCTTTCGGTCTGTGGAAGGTATCCGTATGCATACATATGTCCGCGCATGCAAATATTGATATATATATATATATATATATATGTATGTCTACATGCATACGTCCATGCGTACATCCATGCATACATACATATATAACTATAAGCGACTATGCACACCGTGTAATTATATATATATATATATATATATGTACAGATAGTTTGTGTGCATGTGTGGGTGGGTGTTTACATAACACTAGCTTTAGGTGTTTTGGGACTCTCGCTCCAAGGATGTCGTCGCAACGGGCAAACGGCGGCCGATCCTCGGCCAAGCCCAGCCTTTGTCATGCTTGGGTAGCATCTTAGAAGTTTTATGGGTACTTAAACCCAGCAGCGTTTTAAATCCTATCCCAAGCAGCCCCTGTGAGGTCTAGAGTTTGGGTCATAGGGTCTGGCGTCTAGGGTTTAGCAGGTCCGGCGCTGGTTAGCGCGAAGTAGCATACATGCATGCCCACGCCAAGACCACCCATACAATACCACGGAGAGCCAACCCAAAGCCAGGAAAAGCCAAGCCGAGCCAACTGTAAAAGTATGACAATGACGCACGTGAGCATGCGGGACTCATGGTTCACATGAGGCAGTGGATGCTCGTGACATGGGGGGCGCTCTAATAGTAGGCCGTGACACTGAACCGCAAGGAAAGCGCTCGTGGCGGGAGTGTGGCCTTCGGGGTGGTCTTTCACAGACCAGGACGAAGCACTCTTTTTTCGTGGCTTTGGAGACAGGTTTGCTCGTGGTGAGGGCCTGCATCGTGGGGCTGTGAGGCGCTGCATGGGAAAGGCCTCACAGAAGGGCGCGTCGGGAGGGCTAGCAGGGCAGAGGCCACACGGAAGTGGGGGAGTCGCGTGGTGACCGATGTGATGGCAGCGATTGATCGGTTGACGGTCGCCGAGGTGGTGAACATGATCGGAGTGTTGCCCGATGGCCCCCGAAAGTATCCGCAGACAACCTTGGTGGTGCCACTCGAGGGGGGAAGATCGTGCCAGGTTTGCCCCTGGCAGGAGCCCCCCGCTGCCGCGGCGCGACCTTGGCGAGCAGTGGCCAAAACACTATACTTAGGCAGGTTGTTCCACTCAAGCAAAAAAATCCCAGTTGTAAGTTCCCATGGCAGAATCCAACACGCCACCAGTGGATCACGCCGTCCTGAGAAGCTTGCGTGTCCGCATCTGAGCTTCCTCGGCTGGATCGGCACAGTGTCACAACCATCAAGGCCTGACAGAGGTAGAGTGATGAAAACTTACGATGCTCATGTGCTGTAAACTGAATAAGTACTCTAATTCCTACAAAGTTATTTGCTGGGTTGTTCATTTTGTCAAAGCCCAGGTCTTTTCGGAGGCGGTTTCGTAGGCGGGCTAAAGGGTTTAGGGTTTCAAGTTGATTTTCAAACATGCGCAGTAAGGGTTTGAAAAAAGATCTGCAAAGGATCCGTCCCACGCGCGTTTAGGGTGTCGGTCCCAGAATTTGGGGTTTACGGTTTCGGGCTTAGGGTCTACGCTAAACCCGGAACTCTGGATCCCCTACAGTAGAGTTTAGGGGTTTAGCGTTTAGGGTTTAGGGTTTAGGGTTTGGGGTTTGGGGTTTGGGGTTTAGGGTTTAGGGTTTAGGGTTTAGGGTTTGGGGTTTGGGGTTTAGGGTTTAGGGTTTAGGGTTTGGGGTTTGGGGTTTAGGGTTTAGGGTTTAGGGTTTGGGGTTTAGGGTTTAGGGTTTAGGGTTTCCAGAAAGTTGGAGCATTATCATCCTCAGTCCCCTAAGGTAAAGCACGGGGAATCCCAGCACTACCCACCCTTAAACCATGTTCCAACTTTCTGGGCTTCGCTATAGATCCCTGCAGGGTTTCCGAAACCGCGAACCAGACTCCGCTTGAAGAGGTTTAGGGTTCAGGGGTCCGGGGTTAAACCCTAAACCCTAAACCCTAACGGTTTGGGGATCAGGGTTTCGGGTTTAGGGGTTTGGAGCTTTAGGTTCTTTGGCACGGTGGCGGAATTAGGGCACTGGGAATCGGAGTTGCGAATTAGGTTTTAGGCATGGTTTACGGTTTAGGGTTTAGGGTTGATAGGATCTACCGGCAGGCTCCTCAGCAGACGTAGCAAGTTGGTCGCAAGTACAGTTACAAGCAGGATAAATCCTTATCGTCAGGTATAGCCTACTTAAGCACCCCCCCGTCTAGCCCTGCAGTTCCGAATACCCCTTAACTAAACCCTAAACCCCTAAACCCTAAACCCTAAACAAGTTGCGGTCGGATCGGGCTGCACTTGCCTTCCCACTAGGGATCTTCAGCACTTCCTTTACAGGGTCTAAAGGGCTACTATAAGGGATACTGTAAGGGTCAAACAAACCGTCAAATAGGTGTATATGGTCCCAAATAGTGGGTATTTCAGGCATGTCTGCAAAGCTGGAAAAGGGGCGCTTAAAACCAAAAAAGCCGTACCTAAACCCTTCATACACCGAAAGGAACCCTTACAGGAACCCTTAAAGGAACCCGAAAGGAACCCTTAAAGGAACCCTTAAAGGAGCCCTTAAAGGAGCCCTTAAAGGAGCCCTTAAAGGAACCCTTAAAGGAACCCTTAAAGGAACCCTTAAAGGAACCCGTAAATGAGCCCCGAAAGGAGCCCTTAAAGGAACCCCGAAAAGGAGCTCTAAAAGGCGCCCTTTAGCCAAGGATGAGACCTGGTCGTGCCCTCCCGCTTGAGACCTTCATCCGCTCCTTGAGGCTGGGTTTGGCTGTTTCAAGGCGTACTTGGGAGGTTTAGGGTTTAGGGTTCAGGGTTTAGGGTTTAGGGTTCGGGGTTCAGGGTTTAGGGTGTAGGGTTCAGGGTTGTTTCAAGGCTTACTTAAGGGATCATGAGACTCAGTAAAACCCTAAACCCTGAACCCGAAGTATGGTTCCTTAAACATATCCCTACAGGGATCTTTAAGGGTTCTGTAATCCGCTCATTCAGGCTGGGTTGGCAGTTTCAAGGCTCTTAAGGGTACTACAGCGTTTTAAAATAGGGTTCCCTGAAGGGTTCCCCAAAGGGATCTATAAGGCTTCCCCTAAAGGGATCTTTAAGGGTTCTATAATGGAGGATCATGGGGGACTCAGTAAGAGTGGTTCCTTAAACATATCCCTATATACAGGGATCTTTAAGGGTTCTGTAATCCGCTCCCTCAGGCTGGGTTTGCTGTTTCAAGGCTCTTAAGGCTTCTATAGGGTTTTAACTAGGGTGCTTCAAAGGGTTCCCCAAAGGGATCTATAAGGGTTCTATATTGGAGGATCATGGGACTCCGTAAGTATGAATATGAGTACCTTACTCGTGAATATAAGTAGTTGTAAGTACAGTTCTTTCATAATATCCCCTAGTTACCTAGTTACTAAGTCCCATGATCCTTTAAGTAGGGTCTAGGGTTTAGGGACTGCCCGCAATTTAGAGTTCGGTTTTAGCGTGTGGCTCGCAGTTAGGCGTGACACAGACATTCCCTTTGGCTGACACCTTTACGTGGTAGGCGCTATTACGGAGTAGGGACACTCTAACCAAGTCGGCCTTTGCTTTGATTGCTTCCCTGCATATCCCATCTATTCTTGTACCTGTTAGGGTCCCTTCCTAGCATCCGGTATTATGAAGGTTTTCTTGTTGCTTATTCTCGTTTATTGTTGTCTCGGATCCCTGGGATTCGTTCAGATGGTTCATCCCGCAATGTCGTGCCTTCTTCCGCTTGCTGCTTTAACCTTTTCCTTCGGAGGGAGAACTCAACGTCTTTGATTCACATCGACGCGGGCATTACAATCGGGCAGATTCTACAGGACTTTTGTCAACCTGGTGATCGGGTTACTTCGTTTGCCAAGCTGCTTAGGTCTTCGGATAGGCTAGTTGATACATTTCCGGGGCCAGACTGCCACCTTTGTGTTACCGGACATTTACGAGGAGGTGCCCGGCGAGCTAGGTGGGAGAGTACCCCAGAACAACCAGGGTTGAGACTTGCTTATCCAAGCGAAATCTGCCAGCCCATCACTACGAGGACAATCCCTGAAGACACATGGCCGATACAGCAAATTCATCAGTCCAGTGCTGGTATCACATTCGCCACCTTTGCGAGCTTCGAGAACATTTCGCACATTAGAACCGACTCAGCGTGCATGGTTGTTCTTCGTGGGTATGTGAAAATGAAAGTGCTGAGGCTAGGAGTCGATGAAGCTAGGGTTTTGACGACAACCATTACCGTGCGTGATGTCATTCAAGATACAGAAGAATTGCGAGCAGTCACTCTGGTTAACCTGGCCAGGGATTCAGACGACTTCTTCACGCTACCTGATGTTGTGGCTGCGGTTGAGGTTGCTCACATCGAACGGGTGGCGATGTTTGCTGAAATCCGGTCTACTGATGCTTCTAGTGCAGATTGGGCCGCATTCGGTACGCCAGAGGCCTTCCACAACTATGTCACACAAACCTTGGAAAATCATTCTACGGTTGGGAACTGCGTATTGTACAAGATTTTTCATCGTGAAGGTTACTTGTGCAGAAGAATCCAAGTTCCTGTTGAACATCGCGATGCGGTTTACCAACGTTCTGGTTTGAAATCAGTTCAATTCCGAGCTGTTCGCAAACCAGACGATGCTCCAGAATCTGGCCTTGAAGTGTTGCGGATCCCCGATAGTGAGTCCCTCGCCGAAGCTACCGTGCGCTTATCTCAGATTCCCGGGAGTTTGGGATGTTTCAAATCGCAAAGCTCGTTATACCTTCGCGTGAAGGATGCTCACATTCAGAAAGCTCGAGAGACAGTATTTCCAGGTGATGACCGCTTTTCCGCCTTCAACATAGCCGCAAAGTGTGTGATTCCGTACAAAGTTCTTGGTTTTCCTGCTGGTACTTCCATGAAAGACGTCGTCAAAACATTGGAGACCTTGGGCTTTGTTGCAGTCCCCTCAAGAATCGTCAACCTTAGAGAACTCGCAGTGGTATTCTTGGCAGCGCCTCAACCACCATCAGCAAATCGCTTCCAGACTTCCGCCGGTGTGATTCAGATCATTGAGGTAGAGCGTAAAGCCTTCAACCGCAAGGAGAACAGCATGATTGCTCCCATTCCGCCTTCGTCTTCGAGAACCCCAAACAATCACAAAGGCTACGTGAAAGGCAGTGGTAAAGGAGGACGTGATGGTCTATCTGGTCCATTGTTGGCTCAACGTGCTTTGATGTTCCCGAAGCCCGCTGTCCCCCTTTTGCCCAACCCGTTCGCCGACCGGGTTGATGCACTTGAGACACAGGTGGCAACCCTCAAGCAAGACATCGAAGCCGTTAAAAAGGACGGTGCCGACACCAAGCAGCAGCTCGCGGAGATTTCATCCAACCAAAACCGCGGCTTCCAGGACCTCCTCACCGCTATCTCGGAGATTCGTGCTAACATGTCTTCTGCTGCTAACAGTTCGCAGCAGAACCATTCGCCACCCTCAAAGCAGTCTCCGCCGAATAAGCACCCCAGACTCTGAACAACATCGTCCACGGTCTGGTAGGGCCACGGATGACGCCGCACTTGTGGTGGTTATCCATTGTTCTATGCCTATGGGATCAACGCGCAATGTCCGCAGTTCGTATCTTGAGCTTGCTAATAGCGCATTGCAGCCTTGCATGCCTTGTCGCCATCTCCTTTATATATGTATGTCCTATACTTTTTGTTGTTTGGGCGATTACTACGCATCTTCAGCTCACGTTTTCTCCTAAGGTGCAACGTGTGTCCTGGTTGAAACATAGTCGTAGTCAAGGCTTGCTTCATGGGACTTGTCACGTGCCACTGTCTCGCAGTGCACGGCGCAAACGGAGCCTAAGAGCTCACAAAATTCTGAGACAGTGTCGCGCTGCACTCTTCGCCGCACTAATTCAACTGCAAGCCTTAGGATCGCATTCCAACATTACAGACAGTGTTGGTTTGCTTTTGCGTTCCCCACCTCATTTGGATGTCCAGTGCCACCGAAGTGTGGACCATCAAATCCTGTCATTACGACATTCTTCATGCCAGATGCTGCACCAAATTAGCTCATATCATACCTTCCATTTATGGTTCTATTCCATCTTTTCTCCTTGTCTGGGCTTTCCGGGTGAAGGTCCTACGGTTAGCTTCGTTTCGCTCAACATTTCTTCGTGTAATCGCCACAGGAATGATCTTGTTTCTTTGTCGACTTGTGGTTCTACTCCAGTCCAATTGGTATTCCTTCAAGAAACTCGATTAGGTTCGATTGCACAATCTACGTTGTTACCCTTCCTGAAACAGGAAGGATGGAACATTGCCGTTGGATATCAACCACCAGTGAAGCGAGTGAATACCAAGCACTTTGTAGCACGTCCTTCCCATGGCGGTCTTGCCGCCATTTTTCGTGGAGGCTCCGTAGTTGTTCAGGTGCCCATTCCCGATGGGTGGAAGGTTCTTTACCCTCACGTTCAGTTGCTTTGGTGTTCATGTCAAGGTGGCGGCTTTTATGTCGCCAATTGTTATCTACCCTCTGGGGGATGCAAACACTCAGAAAGAGTCCAACTCCTGGAGTCCCTGTTCAGCCTCGCCGCCACGTTTTCCAATTTCCCTGTATTTCTTTGCGGTGACTTCCAAGAGGAGCCGGGCGCTTACCCCCCAATCCAGTCTGCCATGTTGGCTGGTGAATGGGCTGATTTGTATTCAAACCAGCAATCATCCCTGGGATTACCTGTTGAAGCTTCATTTGCGAAGTCCGGGTGGAAATCAGGTTACGGTTTAGGTTCCGGTAAGACCCGTATTGATACGTTCTGAGCAATCGCAAAGCGTCTTGCTTGTTTCAATCTGTTCGATACGTTAGGGGATGTTCTTTCCCAGGACATACACCGGTTCTTTGTTCTCTTAACGTCAACATCCTCTCTGAACCAGTATGGGTTTTGAAACCCCACCCAAAATGGGTTTTGCCCGACAAACCTACTTCTGACGAAGAATGGGCTCGTAGAGAGTCTTTGTGCCAACCTGTGTTTGAGCTCCACACTGATGCGCTGTTAGAGGCCGCTTCGAAATCTGATGTAGAAAATACTTGGAATCTAGCATGCCGCATCGCTACTGAAATGTTAAACCACATCTCCCAACAAGTACTTCCTTCGACGCGCGGCAGCCTTCCTGGCTTTCGCAAAGTCCCATTGTGTCAAGACGAATCGAAACCTTGCAAGTTCTCCAAGGCCCATAAGATCGCCCGCTGCAAAAGGTTACTGAGGGAGTTATTGTTTAAAGCATCGCATTGGCAAAGTCCTGACCGTGAGGACTGGCATAGGGATTTGCATCGTACTGTCCGGAACCTTTGTTCTCTTCTCGTCCAGTTAGAGGTTTCCGGCACCGTCAACCCGTCCAGTCCCTCCCAACTCTCGGATTCCTGCAATCAGATTCTGTTGTATATGCGTAAGTATGAAGACGATCTTCTTCGATCCGATAAAGAGGATAGACTACGAGCCTGGAAAAAGAAGTTACAAATCTCCTCTAGGAGTGATAAGAAAGAGGTACATCGTTGGCTTAAAGGGTTTGGATCTGGTCCCCCTAAATTCTTTAAGCTTCCCGATGGTAGCTTCACCGCCTCCCCCAACGTCATGCTGAATATGATCGAAGATCATATGCAAGATATTTACAGTCATCATGCGGATGTTGATCCTGTTGATGCCTTGGAACAGTTTATGGCGAAATATGGGGATAGGGTCGAGTCTATCAAAGTTGATGCTGACTTACCCCAACTCAATCACAATGACTTGTTTAAGTTATTTCAGAAGCGTAGTGCAGATAAAGCTTCCGGTCTGGATGGATGGACAACCCGAGAATTACTTCAGCTCCCCCCGGTAGGATGGATTGGGTTTTGTTTATCTATGCAGATCGCGGAAGCTGTAGGCTCATGGCCCCAAGTGTTGCGCATGATTTCGGTCACCAACATTGCAAAAAAGACGGTAGTTTCTTCACCCGAGGACACACGCAGTATTGGTATTTCGTCTGCAATATACTCTACTTGGTCTTCCCTTCGGTTTAAGCAGCTAGGGTATTGGATGAATCGGGTCTGTCCCATCAACTTATTGGGTGGTTTGGCTGGCCGTTCCGCCGATCTTAATGAATTGGAATTATCTCTTGAACTACATGATCCATCCTCATACGACGAGCTCGTTGCGGTGTTTCTTGATCGGTGGAAATGTTTCGACCTTGTATTGCCGCACGTCGCTATGAACATAGCGGGTAGTTTGGGCCTGCCACAGCAAGTTGTTAGAGCTACGCTAGGCTTTTACCACAACCAAGTCAAGTTTTTTAAATTGGGCACCTTTTTTGGTAAGAAGGTGTTATGTACTAATTCTGCTGTCCAGGGTTGCTCTATGTCTGTATTGATGATTAATTGCATGTTCGCAGTGCTCTCTTCGTACATGACACAAGCATGCCCATCAATCAAGTTTAGCACTTTCCTTGACGATTCCAAGATTTGGACCCGCAGTAACGACATTAATGGCTTGGTTGAAGCATTCCAGGCAATAGAGGACTTTGACACAAGCGTTGGTCAAGCGTTGAATGTTGACAAGACCATTATTGCCACACGTAGGAAGAAAAAAGCACAACAGTTTTTACTCAAAGTCGGTAGAGCTTGTAAGTTTAAGAGAAATGCCAAGTCGCTAGGGTTTAGTCATCAGTTTGGCAAGAAACGTTCACCCTGTTTTCAAGATGAGCGAGTTTCTAAAGCCAAATCTACTATGTCCCGAATCGCACAGCTTCCCCTCGACCCCACTGCTAAAGCCGTTCATGTCCATGCTAATGGCCATAGTAAGTGGGTTCATGGATCCGAAATCCAGGGTCCATCCGCTAAAGCTTTACGTGGTTTGAGAACCGCTACTGCGAAAGTTTTCCATAATAAGCGGAATTCCATGAGGTGTCCTTTCATGCTATTTGCAACTTTGCATGATCCATGGCTTGACCCTTTCGCAAAATGGGTACAATTCGTCATGCTGAAGCTTCGACGTTTCTCGTATCTGCACCCTGACTTGGTTCGTGAGATTCTCACACGCGTTCGTAACAGTACGGCCCCTACCTTGTCCACTGCAAATGGCATTGTAGCTGTAGTTTCGTATCTATTCGCGCAGTTGCAGTGGCAAGTGCGTGATCCAGAAAATTTCCTGTTGGAACTAGCAGATGGCCAGTTGTTCTGCATCAAGAACGGGTCTAAAGAATCTTTCTTAGACGAGCTTTCCAGAGATGTGCGAAGGTATTTGATAAATAAGTCTCCTCAGCGCTATGACAACCCAACCCCTGGTACCTACAAAGTTCCCGACGTTTATCTTACCAGGTTTATTTTGGATACCAACTTTTCTAGAGATGAGGACTTCGCTTGTCTTCGTAAGTACATCGGAGTGCTTCCCGGCAACATCGCCTACACACGTGCTTTATTGTCAGCTCTGATATCTGGGTCGATCTACAATGGTCACCGGTATAAAGCTGCGGGACTTCGTGCTGACGCATGCTGCCCACACTGTGGAACCGATGAAACACACATACACATGTTTTGTGAATGCCAAAATGTCAAAGACTCTTGCCCAACGCGAGGGGATGAGCCTTTGATGTCTTGGCTTACTGGAATAATTTTCGAACCCGCTTCACCTCGCCCTCAAACAGTCCCTTTGAGCCAGTGGGTGCTGCCTACAGTGGCTGAACGTTGGCAACCTTGTTCGGAAGTCTTTGTGGATGGCAGCGTTTTTCATCACAAGTGGTCTTCCATTAGAGCCGGTGCCGCATCAGTCGTAGTGCCTGGTCAGTTCAAGCAGTCAGTTGCCTTTAGCGGCTCTTCTGTTAATTCGTTTAGGTGCGAACTGTTTGCTTTAATTCTCGCCATCCATGTAACAGAAGGTGACATTATCATTGCGTCCGATTGCGCCAGTGTTTTGCGTCGCGCAGAGTTCTTGAAAGCTCGGGGTTTTCAGTGGGAGTGCACTTTCTGTTTTGAAAATCCGGATCTTTGGGATCTTTTCTTGCATGTCGCCAGGAACCATCAGGGTAGTATTCGTTTCATCAAGGTAAAGGCCCATACTGATGGCAAGTCTTCACAGTCTTCGGCGCTTACGGAGGGCAATGAAGCAGCCGATGCTTTGGCCAAATCTACTGCCAAAACACTTTCATCTAGGCTAGTCGCCGACTATATGCCATCCTTACACAAAGCAGTTGAACTCCAAGTTCATCTTGTCACTACTCTCATCAAGCGTAGTGGTGTCTGCGAGTTGGCGCCGTTCGACGAGGCAGACGCTCCAATGACACCTTTAACTACGCAGACTGTATGCACATGTAAACCGCTGACACGTCTTTTCAGTAAGCGACCCCGCAAATGCTACAAAGCTTGTCACCTAATCGGGCATACGGTTTTAGTCGGTGAGGTCGAGGATAAGGTACTTGCTTTATGTAGAGCCGGTCATACCATTCCTAACAACTTGATGCAGTGCTTGCGGCAAAGATATGTCTCCTTCTTCGCCAGTGTCACCCCGAACGTGGTTCACTTTTATAGTCACCCGGATCTAGATTTTGATGCCTTGGTTACAGGAAGGAGTCGTATTCCCAATAATGCAGCTCAAGCCCTTGCATCGTTTTTGAGCGAGAACAGATGGGCCTTTAGTCCCACTGCAGACGGGCCGCGAACAACGTGGCTGTCGGTTCTCATCGAGTTTCTATCCATTCACGGATTCTTTCCTGGTTGGTTAACGTGTGGTATGTCCGCTAGTATTCTTATCTCTCGGTTCAGGTCTCGCTTTGTGAAGCTTTGCAAAGCCAATTCAATCTCCCTGATTCCAGCATCACATATTCGAACAGCAGCATCTTTTGGCATGAAAAACCTCAGCGGATTTTACGGATCTGCGCACTGCAAGAACATTCAGCATCAGCTTTTCGTCTTGTTACAAGCTGGCTTGTTCTGCAATCAGTTTACTCCTGACGGTTCCAAGCTGAGCACAAAGTGGGTGCCTGACCTTGCGCAGTTCCGCAATATTCCGTGCTATCAATGATTATCCTTTTCGATAATTCGCCGAATCGGGCTTTACTTTAGTATCGTCGACAGGTCGCGGCCTTAGACACACAGTGCAGCAAAAAATTTAGAGTTCGGTTTTGAGGGCTTTCTTCTTTTAGAGTTCCGGCTTCTGGCTGTCAGGCTTCAGGTTTCGGATTTTGGGATGTACTTACTGGTCCCCTTTAAGGGTACTATAGGTTCTATAATAGGGCTCCTTAATGGGATCTATAAGGGTTCTAGAATGGGGATCATGGGACTTAGTAAGTATGGTTATAAGTACCTTAATTGGGGTTATAAGTAATTATAAGTACTGTTACCTTCATAATAACCCTAGTTACTAAGTCCCATGATCCTCTAAGTAAGCTCCGGGTTTTAAGGCTTGAGTCGCATTTGTGTATTGTGGCTTTCGGCTACGGTTTAGTTTTACGTTTAAGGTTTGAGTTGGTTCTCGTTTGCTTCCGAGAACGTGATGGGGTTGTATGCGTTGAGAAGACGGTTGAACGGTGCTTGCTGTTGTCAATACCAACCTTTTCATGGTGATTCGCATCGTTGCTGCTATGTCGATGTTCGCTAATGCGGTTATTGCGATCGTTATTCGTGTATTGTTTCTTCTGTCTACACTATGGTTTTCTGTATGGCTTTGGGTTCTATGTAGTTTTCTTCAGGGCTGCTGCAGGGTTGGGGTTTCGACCATATTCCTGTTCTACATAGAGGACCATAGGACCTACAGGACTTAGTAGCGAGGGTTATTATGTGGTAATTAGACGTATAGTTACTTATTGCGTTGCTTCTAGCCATACTTACTAAGTTCCATGATGCTTTAAGTAGAGTTGTGTTCCCCAGACCCACACCTCGCTTTGGACTTATGTCTATAGCCATTGCAGATGGAGGCCTTGTGCGACAAGTGTTCGTGAAACTCGCATTTCACTGGTGGGCTAGCCCTAAATCCCGAATTCGAAAGCTTAAGCCCTAAAGCCTAAAGAGTCAGGAATGCCCCTTGTCGGGTGGGCTTTGTGAGGGAGTGGAGGTGGGATGCTTGTGCTGGGATGACATAGTTAGTGTTCCAAAGGCTTGCCCCAATACAACCTATGATAAAGGGGTCTGAAGCGGAATAATGAGAAATAGCCGCCCTTGTAGTCCCTATCAATTCTAATTTTGCTACAATCTAACCTACGCCCGCCCAAGCCGTATTGCACTTATTGACCCCTATACATATATATATATATATGTATAGATAGATAGATAGATAGATAGATAGATAGATAGATAGATATATATATATATATATATATATATATATATATATATCATATTATATTATATAGATAGATAGATAGATAGATAGTCTGCGCTCTTTTTCTGACGAGGACCTCTTTTTGAGAAAGTGTCTATCACATGTGGCTCGACTTCTGGGTGCTTTGGTACGGATTGGGGTTTTTGGGTTTAGGAGTTAGGGTTTAGGGTTTAGGGTTTAGGGTTTAGGGTTTAGGGTTTAGGGTTTCGGGTTTAAGGTTTCCGAAATCGTTGAAGTCCAGCTTTAAGCCCCAAGTTTACACCTCCAAACCGACCGTCGTTCCTCTCCCTGCTTTCGGCAGGTGCCAGCGGAAGCGACGTCCGATCGTGGCCTGGCTTCCACCAGATAAGTCGGGAAGGGTTCAACCAGCGCTGGGATTCCCCATACACTACTCTTAAGGACTGAGGCTATTGGGTTTCCAGCGTTTGGGCTTTTACTAAAGGGTTTAGCGGGAGGTTTATTTTTTAGGGAAGGGTGGGGAAGGGGAAGAGCGGCGGTTAGCATAGGGATTAGGTCGTAGGTTTCAAGGACTCCCACAGCTCTGTGGCAGAATTCGGTTTAGGTTGGAGGATACGGATTTCAGGGTTTAGGGATTGGCTTAGTTTAGGCATCGTGACGGTGTTGCAGGCTTGTGTCCTTGAGTAGGCTTTGTAAGGTTTTCAAGAGCTCAAGGCGGCGTTGCCTTACTTACCAATGCTACCGGTTGATGATATAAATCCTGCATCACCTTCAGGACCCTAAACTATGGAAATAATGGCAGATTCCTTATTATGGGTACTGCAGGATTTTGTCCATCAGCCGTACTGACTACAATCCGTTACACAAGCAGATTCTAGCTAAAGCGTTCCAGATTTTTGGGCTGCGGGAGATTAGGCTTCATTGCTTGGCGCCCAGCTATTTGGGAGTTTCCGAAAACTAGGGGTACCTTTTTGGGGGTCCTTATAATAAGGATCCTACTATTTAGGGTTCGATATTAGGGTCCCCCTATTTTCGGAAACTCCCATTTATAGACACTAAACCTTGGACGTACAGCTTCAACCCGGAATTCTAAATCCTGAATTAAACTGCCATCGCATGTTTTTTCAAGGTGTTGTTCGGAACCCCAATATAGACTTTATAGAGGAACTGCAAAACAAAGTCGGTTATGGTAGGTTAGGGTACACCCTAAACCCCAAACCCCAAACCCTAAAACCCCAAACCCTAAACCCCAAACCCCAAACCCTAAACCCCGAACCCCCTTAGCCCCGCACCTGAACCCGGAAGCTCATCATCGAAGTTCCGACCCTGAACCCCATCTTCTGCAATTCACGGTTGAGGGTTTCGGGTTTAGGGGTTTACGGTTAATTCAGGGGTTTAGGGATGCGAAAGGGTTCAGGGGTTTAGAGTTTCGGGTTTAGGGGTTTAGGGTGTAGGGCCGTAGGGGTTTAGAGGGTTTACGTTCACACCTAGATTCCCCCTGCCATGTGCTATCCCAGAGAAGGCTATGGTTGTGTGAGTCGCAGTCGCAGGAGATCATCATCACCCCCCTCCATCCCCACCCCAAGCCCTAAACCCTTGAAATTGAACAGTAGACATTAAACCCGAAAGCCGGAGATGGCCAGGTGGTGGTCTCCAGGCGGGTGCCAGTTGACTGGGCGAGGGTCATGAACGAGCCCTCCGTGTTCTTGGTGCTGGGAGCCGCTTGGCCGCAGGGGCGAAATCCTGCACTGCCCTAAACCCGGCACCCCAAACCTTAAGCGCCTAAAGCCTAAACCCCAAACCCTAAACCCTGTCAGGAGCATCATCGCATCCTACGCAGAAAACAGCTTCTCTGAAGAATCTTAACACCCTACTTAAAGGATCGTGGGACTTAGTAACTAGGGTTATGATTGGGGTAACTATACCTATAATTCCTTATAGCCCCAAGTAAGGGACTTATAACCATACTTACTAAGTCCCATGATCCCCATTCTAGAACCCTTATAGATCCCATTAAGGAGCCCTATTATAGAACCCTATAGTACCCTTAAAGGGGACCAGTAAGGACTTGAAGACTGAGCCCTAACACCCAGAGCTGAAACCCCAAGCCGCGCCCCCTTAGCCCCAAAGCCTGAACCCCAAAATCATCGGGGTTTTAGCCTATGGGGGTTTAGTAGGGATTAGGGTTCCCATAATAGGGTTCATATTAAGGAATCCCTACCCCAAGAATCTTAAACCCCCCCTTTTAATTTGGCCTCCCATCACAAAAACCCAAACCCTAAGTCCCAAGCCCTACTCTAGGGAACATGGGGTTTAATAAGTACGGTTACGGTTATAAGTACTTTAACTAGTTGTAAGTAGTTTCCAGTATAGTTACCGTAACAGTAGCTTTAAATTGCTAGGTCCTGTGATCCTTCAAGTAAGTCACTGAAGCCCGTCAACTTCCGCCCTAAACCCCGCAACACCCCTGAACCCCCAGGCCTCTAACCATCGAAACCCTCAACCTGAAACCTCAAATCCTAGACCCCTAAACCCTGAGACCTTGAATTCGACATCCTAAACTACCGCAAAGCCGCAAACCATCAACTCTACCGCTTTCTCGTAAAAGGCCTCGTGAGCGAAGTTTCAAGCCGACCATAGGACCGACTTTAGGGCACAGGGTTTGGGGCGTAGGATATCATGGGTTCAAGGCTTTGGGTTTAGGGCTTTAGGGTTTGCGGTTTAGGATTTGGGGTTTAGGGTTGGAGGCGTCGCGGCCCAAGCTTCTTTTGGTGTGAGTCTCCCCTAGGAGTTTTTCGCCATAGGAGCATACCCGACCCCAGCTCTCTGTGAGCGACGGGACTCGCGCTGAGGGCGGTCCCTGCACCTTTGGTTAGGTGCTTAGCAGGGGCGGCCCTGCTTTCCAGGGCGTACGCTGCTTCGGCCGTCCGCTCTGGCCCTTCCGCCAACACTGCCTTTTAATAGGCTGTTGGCCCTTCTTATGAGCGGTAGTGGCCGCTACACACCCATCATTCCACTTTTTCTGCTTGGGTGTGGGTTAATCTGGATTGGCAGTGCTCCTCAATCTGGAGATCGCGTGGGGGCCGACCTTGGCCCATTTTCGTATAACGAGGGCAGCGAGCCCTCCGTGGCATCGCCGAGTGCGGCGCCAGCGCAGCAAGCTGCGCAAGAAGGCCCGAGCTGGGCGTGCTACACACACAGAACTCCTACGTCTCGCCAACCATCACGGGACGATGACGCCAAAGGTGAAGACCGACAACAAGGCACAGCCGAAGGGCAGAGGCAAGGGCGGGGACACACCCGCGCAGGCATCCAGGGTCGAATTTGGGCTGCCGGCCGCTATGATGACGGCACTGCAGGCTATCACGGCCAGGGCGACTCAGGATCTCTGGTCTTCACCTGCGGCTGTTGCTATCGATATGTCCGTCGAACAGCAAATCTCAAAGCAGGCGACGGCGTCCCACAAGCTATCAAAACGGATAGCGGGAGACGTCAAAGCCAAAGACGAACTCAGCGCTGCATTGTCCGACTGGGCCAACGTTTTGGGGCTCCATCTTGTTGGTTTGGTACAGCGGGTGCAAGCACTGAGCTCCAAAGTCGACGAGGATCTGACGCAGGCCTGCCAAGAAATGCGTATGACCCTCACAGACCTCCCGTCCTCCACCACGGAAGAGCGTATCCAGCAAGCCTCACAGAGATTGGGGCCAGTATGGACAGAAGCCCAGTCGAACGAGATACTCCGGATAGCGGCATCTCTACGGGCCTTCAGTGTGGTCCCAAGCCAACCGGCACCGAGTTTGCTCTCCCCCCCGCCAGGAGTACTAGCGCCGCCGGGCCCTGGCAGGATGATGGAGCAACCTTTAGGTATGGCTGGTCCTGGCTTCCATATTCCTGGAACTGGCTCTGGAGTGACGCAACGGCTGGCTGGCACCGGATTTGGTCTTGGTGGTGCGGAACCACCACTACCTGCACCTCGGCGCCCGCCGTCTCCGGTGAGGCGCATGGAGGACGAGGCCCTGGGAGACCGAGCGCTCAACAGACAACGCCGGTGGAAGCGCGGGAATGTGGCACTTCCACACCGACCAAGCAAAAGCCCCCGAAGGGAAGAGCTAGCGGCGGAGCCGGACGCTGCTACGGAGGAAGAGCTCGCTGCCGCCCCCTGGAGTACCGCTGCTACAGGGCGCACTCCAGATGCCCTTCGAAGGCCCACGTTTTCCGAGTTCTCCGACGATGCAGAATTGGTGCCCGCTGCGGCAGTGGGCAACACTGGAGGACAACCCACATGGAGGACAGCATGGCTGCAGGCTATGGCCTATGTTATGGCCAATGGGTGCGACATGACTGGGGACCTGGACGCCTCTCCGGAGCAAGATGCCATTTGGCCTCTGCAGTCGGACGAGGCATCCATCCCAGAGGTGCGGGCAGAGGCCGCGTCTTTCTGGGATGCCCTTGGTGTGTTTGTACACAACGTGGCCGAAGAGCAGTTTCCAAGCATGGTTACCTCGTGTCAAGAACTCCTGCAAAGACTCCGACTATGCCCGGGGGCACTTCCGGGGGTCCGGCAAGGAGTACTTGTGGCTATACACATCACTTTGGGCAACATCATGGATTTTCAGCAGTATGGTCCAGCCACGGCTCAGGAGTGGCTGTACCCCTCCCTTCTGCTGGAACACGGATGCGAATGTCGGGGTATGCTCCCTCGCCAAGTCTCCGAGGGCATGCGTCCCTTATTGGGTACCCCATGCCCATACTTGACACTTCCTACTCCAGCAGAGGAGTTCGGCGAGATCTGAACGTCTGTCTGATGAGCCAGGTTGTGTACAGCATTTTCCGTCTACTGAGCGCTTGTATATACGTAGGAACTATTGTGTTTCTCGCAATGCGGATTAGGTGGCGGACGCTGTTCCAGGACTCTCTCCTCCTGCCTGCTTTAGGCGCTTGTCGTCTCGTGGCAGGGCATGTTCGACTCTGGAGTGTTGACAATAATCCTGCAGGTTGCTGTTCAGGTTGTTACGTTGACGTGCAAGGCACCCACAGGCCGAGCAGACACCACTGCGGGTGCTCCCAGTGGACGAGACAGGTGCGGACCATAGGCTTTATTTGGCTGTTGTGCACACCCAATGTCGCCGCGGTGCAGATTGTTCAGCAGGGCAGTTGGAACGGGCAACCGGTTTACACGACTGGCAGTGTGGCTGTTACCAATTGCACCGCAGACCTGATGCCAGTTCGTGCTGTGAACATGCCACTTCATGAGCACCTTGCGGAATCACCGCATCCGATCCGCGACATTGGCGTGTTCTGTAGCGAGTGCTCGCAGGCGCCACTTTTACTCCACGCCGATGACCGGGCGCATGGTATTCTGCTGCACAGCATGGCTGCGTCGGCTCTTGGCTTGCAGTTACATGAGTGGCATGTGCACTCCTTGCGAGAACAGCTTCCGGCCACTCCGCCTGAGTCATTGGTGTTCACACCCCGAAGGCTTGCCTGGTTTGAGTGCATGATCCCTGTTGATTTGCGCCCTCTGGGTGGCACAATTCGGATCGCCTCTGCTAGACGAGACCTGCCGTGCATTAACGCGGTTAGAGAAGCCCTTCGTTCTCAAGGCATGTCACCTGGGCAGCCAGTAATGTTGCGTACGAGCCGAGGTTGGTTTCTCCCTTCTGCTTCCCTGCTCTTACTGCCTGGGACTGACGCTTTCCAGGTGTGGCCAATACCGCCGACTGGCTTCGTTCCCCTTGTCGGGGACTCCCTGCGCTCGACTGTGTCTGTGGAAGACAGACTTGCAGTGAGTCTTCCTTTTACACAAGCTGCTGAAACTGCGTCCCTTGCTGCTGATGGTGGCAACGCGGTCGTCATCTACGACAATGGGCTTCATTATGCACAAGTGTCTTCTTTCGCTGACCACTTGACCTTGAGGACAGAAGCCCTGCAGGCATTTCTTGCTGCCGTCCCTGATGGCCCACCAGCCCCTTTGCACTTTGCTAGGGTTTTGCCTCCTCTTGACAACTTGCCATCTGTGCAGTTCGTTGCGCTTCGGTGTCACGAGGGGCGATCTCCCGCACTTGTCGACCTCCGGCCGTTGGGAGGGGCTCTGCACGTTTTCGGGGCTAGCCTTTACGATACCCCAGCCATGCGCATCCAGGTTGCTGTCAATCGTGCGGGAACTCCGGACAGTCGTCGGCCGCTCACCTCGCAGATTATGGCAGGCACCTTGCAGGTTCTCCATCGCGAGAGCATTGTCAATCCCTTTGTTGTGCTACAGGGCTCCCCACCCTTACCCTTGGTGGTTGTGCCTCGCAGAACCAATGTTGCAGCAGGGTACCATTCTTCTGCGTTGGTCGTGAGCGACTCAGAAGATGAGGCGGCGCCTCATGGTGACACACCATCGCCTGCTGAGGTCTCAGGTACGCATCGCCCGTGGGTAGCTTGGGGTATTGGTCTCGGGTTTCTGGGTAAATTTGGACCTGTCCAAGGGCTCCTGTGGGCTAGTTTGGCTGCTGTTGCCTCCATGGTTCCCGGATTCCAGGAGGGTGTCCCCCTTCAGGTTAATCAGGAACAGGACCCTATGCTAAGCCCGATTCCCCTCGGATTTGCGGATGTCCAGGCACACATGAGACTCGTTTCTCGTTTGTCCCACCCGGACTCCCTTACGCGGCTTTCATGGGCTTCTGCCAGCGGAGCCCTTGGAGGACACTCACAGGCCTACTGTGTCTCAGTT